CAAGCAACTAACTGTTTTACAAAATCGTTGCTCACCATCCTGATATAGTGTGTATTTAGTTAATTAATTATTAACTTCCAAAATATATAATTTTAATATACTTCATCAATATATACTTTTAATAAACATATGAAAAGCCAACCACACAGAAAGCAAACGAATATGGTACATACATTTCACCTTGAACATCTGGTTTTTGGAACGACAACAGTTGAAGGCCCAGGCACCTCCGTCACATGCGCAACAGCTAGGGGTTCACGTGTACTGGTTTTCTTGTGAGGCACTGTATGTGCTTCTGCTTTCTTTGTTCCAGTATTGAACTGCAAATAGTACATATATCACATTGATGTGTACTGTAAGGACGGTTTCCACAAGTGACATTCAATACAACCATTTTGCCATAATACAAAGAGAATTGTCTCAGGTTGCACATGTATGTTTTAGTTGAATTCATTATTCCATAGTTATACTGAAGTACTTCATTGAATGAGATATTCAGGAACACTATTTACATCACCTCTTAACATACATTATTTATATTGTAGTGTATGTGCTATAAGGTGAGAAACAATGTTTAATTCATCATGAACATGATATTGTCACAAACCGGGAAGCAGACAACTCTGGCAGAAGAGCTTTTGTGTAAAAAGGCATTTAACTTAGGAACAATGGTTTGGGACCACAAACTGCTGTTTTTCTTTCTGCATGAAAATCATATGAGTTCTCTGTGCGAACAATGAAGTCACACCGTGGCAGGTTGGTGATGTTTAGGAGTGTTGTGTGTTTTTTTACTGCAATTTCCCTTTTACAAGTTCCAAACAGAAATTATTCATATTTTTCAAAGTTGATGGTGTTTTTAAATTAAGAGGTTTATCATATAAGATATTTTTTATTTCATTAACGCCAACCTTGTCATGCTCCTTGTAGACAACTCCATCAGGACTATATGCCAGAAACTGGTGTGTGGGGTGTATAACTAGTCCTGAAGGCTTTATGGTGAGCATTTCCTTTGCTTTCAGATGCAGATTCTCTGTCTTTGCTACCTCCTTAATTATTACACATGCCAATATTGGTAGATCTTGTTCCCCTGAACTTAGAGTAAAGGAACAGTCGTACAAGAGGGTCAACTTTCAGTGTGGTTTTATGTTAATAATCTGACCAAAATTTGATAATGTCAGTCTCTTTTTCCTCTCCTCTTTCCATATGATTGACTCTGACTGCCCTATGGTAGATGCTTCAACGGTGTCTATTTCATTCAAACTGATTTTCTGCCTCTCCATATAGCTCGTCTTCTGTTGCTCCAGGTCTTTAACTGAACTGTCCATGTCGATGTCTCTGGCCTCTTCCCCATATTCTAATCTTGCTTTTTTGGTACTGTTCACCTTTCCAACGCCTGATGTAGTTGTGCTTTAGCTCTATTACATCCCGTAGGTAAGTAGCCCGTCTTTTGTAGAGTCGAGAGAATAGCCTGCCAGGGCGGGTACTGGTGCACTCTTGCGAGTTAGAGGTGACCATTCTGGGCTGATGTTTAGCCGTAATGCCCCTGCATAGCACCGAGTATTCCACGACCACCGATTGCAATGGTTGAAGACTTTTACTCCATCGTACTTTTTACGGATGTGCATCCAGCACTCAGCAAGGTTGGTTGTGAAGTTACCAATCAGACGCTCACTTTTATATGCCACTCTGTCAAGTAGCTTGACTACATCCTGACGCAGGTCCGTGCCCTGCTCCAGGTCTTTAGTGTTTCAATTGGAGTTGTAAAGAGCCTACTCTTGTTCTTGTAAGGAAGCACCATCAGACCACAGGCTGGCCTGCTCACCCATCACATCCTGAGCATTTCCCCCCTCAGGACCAGTTTCGTCGACAGAGTTCCTGATAAGGTTCACTTTAGCCTGTCAGAAGTCAGCACTACAGTTGCCATGTTCCCCGTAAATATGGTGCACGGAATTCCGTATGTCGTGTGGGAGTTGTTTGGCTGCTTTCTTCTTGTCGGAGAGAGATGACCTCATCCGAATGGCACATCTTCCTGCTGTTACCAACCGGATCCTGGTTTGCTTTGCTAGTTTGCCACGACCTCTAAAATGAGGATTTGCATCTACAAGCGTCTCAAGGTTGATCCACAGGCACTTACACGCATGATTTGCACACTCCATCTTGGTTACGCTGCAACCCCAAACTTGAACTTTTTCGCGGATATTTGCTAAAACAGATGAATCCCCATCGCCAACAAGTCGCATGTAACGCACACCATGATCATAAGCTTTTAAAAAGCCCTCCACAATTATGTCTGCCTCCATTGCTTGACTGGACTTGTTCCAGTTTTTAAAGCAGAAAAGTTTGTCAGGGACAAATGTTCTATACTATTTCACCTGTGGTAACCAGATTTGGTGAACAACGACAGCTTTGGATGGCGGCGTGCAGAGTGCAAAAAGAAGGTCACTCCAGTTGTATGACCTCACTGTGACCTATGATTTGACCTTTGACCATTACATTTGAAAATGTTTGTCCTAGGGCATATCTTCTATACTATTTTTACATGCAGTAACCAGATTTGGTGTACAAGGTTTAGGTTACTGTGACGTATGACTTGACCTTTGACATCTACTTTTGAAAATGTTTGTCCGGGGCATATCTTAAATACTTTTTTACCTGGAGTAACTAGATCTGGTGTACAAGGACATCTTGGGATGGCAGAGTGTACAGAATTAGGTAATTGTGATCAATGACTTGACCTTTGACTTTTGCATTTGAAAATGTTTGTCCGGGGCATTTCTTCTATACTATTTCACCCTGAGTAACCTGATTTGATGAACAAGGACATCTTGGGATGGCGCAGTGAAGTAGATCACTATAACCTCACTGTGACCTATGCTTCCTGACATAAGTGTACTGTTTGTTAAAGATAGCAATTCTTACCGGTGAGGGACTATGGATTGCATTGCAATACTTTGCCTTTTTAACAAATATTTTCTTTGCACAGTAGATCCTATTTCTGTCATTTTGTCTTGACAAATTTTGATGCTGAAAGGGATCAGGCGATATATTGACAAAGGTGTTGAAATAATAGTAAATTATTAACAACAAAAAGGCCCACATGAAATATCTGGCAGGTTTTCTTAATTAAGATACTATTTTTTATAACCACCATTTATTTCTTTTTCATGTCAGAATATTCGACGCACCTTTGACCTAAGGAGGGATTCTGTTCGTTTTGTAACCTTAAAGCCCTTAGCTTGGGCGCTGCAGCCACCCGTCATCTACACTATCATCACAAAGGTTACCGAACTATGTGCGCTCGCTTATATGCAGTGCCTATTTCATATTAGTTGTGTTTTTCGTGTATTACACTGCACAATTAAGTCACATCCAACCCCAAACCCCAAACCCCACACCTCCAATATGTTTAAACGCAGTGTTGCATAGTGACCCATGATAGAGACGTTTGTATCTGTAAGGTCAGTGGTCCTATCTATATCTACAGTTGTGTTTTATTTCAGGACAATTTTAGTTCATTTAAACCTTTTTATTACACTTATGTTGGATTGATGTAATGGGAAGCATTACCCTAATCACAAATTGTCTTTGTTTTACACGCGTATGAAAACAAATATGTATTGACCATTTTACCCCTAATAACGTATTTTTTCTATACACATGTGCAGTATTGGCCATTCATAAAGGGGTGGAGGTACAAAAAACATCACGTATTTTATACAAAAAAATTAACTTATGGTTATAAATGCCCTTGTTATACCATGGTTAACATTGAGTTTTAGTGAACGTCAGTGGCTAATATCTCGTTTACAATGTTTAAATACCTATTTAAATTGTTAAATTATGTATTTGCATTTTTAGAAAAGATACATCTTATGTAAATATCTAAAATACACGTTGTTGAACTTGGTCTCGTATGTATATGGGCGAAACAGTCGTCATTCGTTATTAAACTACTGCGACCAGACTAAGCAGATTCCTTTTTATTTCCTGCACATTTCGGTAAAAGTGACATAAAACAGACTTATTGTCGATAACGTTACTTTACAATTTTATTTAACAAAGTCCATATCCAAACATTAAAAGTGTGGTAAGTTCACATCTTTTAGCATGTCACCAAGCTATAGGAACTGGAAGGTAAAGGAATAGTAATAAGTGATAATTGTTATAGATGTTGCCTTAGGTGTAATGCACTGAATTTCATTTGTACTCATCTGCCATCTCAGATTCAGATAAAAAGGCAGAAATTCATTCCGATATTTACTGGTATAAGACATCTTCCTTTTAAAGTAATGTAACTGTTGAATGTAAACACTTTGAAATCATTAACGAAATCAGGAGAATTTATTACGGAAGCTAACATTATTTAAACTGCTGTTGATAATGTCTTGTCATGTCTGTATGTCCTTCCGTCCAGCTGTCTGTCTGTGCGGTGTTATTATTCTTTCATTGTAGATTCCAACAATGAGTTTGTAATAAGTATCCGTTCAAGTTTTGTTAACGAATGGTAACTGGGAGTAATGTATACGGAAATATATAAAGCTAAAGACATAATAAATTATTAGCCATGTGTTTAAACTTTAAACAACAACTGAATGTTACAATGCCATTGATAGTGTCAACTTAGTCAATTAGGACGTTAGAAGTAAATACGTTCACATTCGAAGTTCTACACTCCAGTTATTTAATGATTGGTTGCCCTCGGGATATTATCTTGTGTAGTGTAATTGAAGGTCCTAGTATAAATGCATTTTAATGTGTGTGATAGAGATCGTTACATTATGTACTCTGATTGGTCGAGACGTGTCATGTTCGACTCTGCACATTACACTTCAGGCAGGTGTAACCGTGTTGTAACACTGATTTTCTAAGAGCTTTATATACCCAGAGACGTATGTTATAAACATATTATAGACGTGACACGTCTATGCGTCAATGTTAGTATAGGACCTAACAGGACTTCATGCAGTGTGGACACTAACAGCGTTCTGATACCAGCTACTGTACCATCTGTCTATAGCAGACAAGGACCACTGAGATAAGTAACATCAGCTTCCCTGTCTATAATACATCAAGTCAGCTAGCTTAGCCACATGTAGCATCATATTAGTCTAACATGGCAATTAATTGTATAGATATATATGTATGTGGCTTGAAATCTTGCACCGTTCTATGATATTACTTGTCAGTGCAGCGGCCGGTAGGTACAGCTCTCACATTTCACATTCAACGAAACATTCAAGTCATGACACATGGTTTGGAACATGTACATGCAATGTAAATTTTATATTTCCATATACGTGTATGCGTTATCTAAAGTTGACAATGCGCGCAAACAACAAGTCTCCGAAAAAGATACAATGTTGTACACTGCTTCTGAAATCAAGGACGACACCGACTCCAAACGTTCTATCGACCAATCGACGAACCGGATACAGTGTGAGTGACACGCTAAATCAACCGTTCGGTTTGTTGACGCCGTGACGATTTTGATTGTGAGACCCGTCGCCTGATTGGTTAATAGCAGTTTATACCTATATATATATCTATATAAGGTCATTACACCTTTCCTCCACTTTATAATATCTACTGCGTCTTTACGAGAGAAAATTGATTAGCCATCAATTATGTATGTCGTTTGATATAGTTTTCGAGTGTAAAAGTGCTCTTGGCTTAAAAGTGACGAAACTTATTATAGATGAAGTCTGCAGGTGTAAACGAAACATCGTAAAGTGTCGGATTTTACTGTCGACAAGTCTATACGTCGTAAACTGAGAGAATTTACTATTCGACAAGCGTACCTTTGTTTGATCTTGTTCGATTTATTTTGTTTAAATCTCTCGTCTGGCCACCTGTTACTATGTGACGCGTTATCCTACGTTAGAAGGGAAGATAAATTAGCCTTCTGATCCACCTCTCAAAGACACTTGCCTTTCACGGACAATTATCGTATTCGTGTTTCCTTGAAACCATGGCGGATTTTCTAAAATTTCACAAATCAAAACTCCAAGTAACAGTGCTGATTTTAATTATGATTACAATGGCTGTAATGTACGAAGGTGAGTAACTATTTTGGGACTGTTGAATTAACATTTTGAATATTTTGAATAATGATTATTTGCTACTTTCTTTCATTTAGACCAAGCCATATTCTGATGTGTGTAGGACAATAAATATTATGTACAGAAAGATAACGTTATCGGGAAACATCATTTCATTATTATACCATTCTGACGCATTTTTTTTTTTAAATACAATAATTTAATTTTTAAACAAGACAGTAGTACAAGCACATGTAATTGTTAACAGATACTTTTAGACAAATTTCGAAACCTTTCTTTTTATTTTTTAATTATCAAAAATCTTTAGAATTTTCCATAGATACCATCAATAAAATATTCTACCCTAAAAAATAAAACGTAATGAAAGTTAAGCTTGAGCCGGCCGTAAAATATTGCGGTCGAATTACTATCAGATGTCATACTGTTTTATCCATTCCTTTCAACAAACTCGGAACTAACGAAAATGACTATTAGGTAATTTTTCGTGTCCAGGTGGAAGTTAAACCTATTTCTTACTTGATGTAGAAAAATGGAGTTTATACGTATACATGTAGCGACCTGATCCCCCCTTACAGTGTTAAATACACTGGGATATGTTTCTTAAATGAAGCAAAACTGATTTAAAAGGTCCAATAATATCATACTGTACTATTCGTAAATTGTGAAGTTATTATATATTTATATCACAAAGAAGAGCATCATTATGCTGCAAAAATTCTAAACAAAGCGGGAAACGTTACTTAATCACATTTTACACAACTTAGTATTCAATCAGCGTTATATCCAAAAGGACGTTGCTGATTACAGACCACAGTATATATGTTTCGTTCTTCTTTTATTATTGTCGTAATATAATGGGATGTTTAAATAGGTTGATGGATCTTTCCAAAAACCCAATGGACGTTTAATGATATGAATTACGTCAGACAGGTCAGTAGTTATTAATATGTCATATTTGAGATATTTCCAAACATATCTGTCGTAATTACACATACAGGTGACACCATCCATCGGCCAGCCATTTTGAGAAAAGTGTCACAATGGTCCAGCCGTGCTGGGTTTGGAAAATACTGGGCTTTGGACGAAACTACTACAAGTACAAGCACTAGCATTGAACCGTCATCATCTACAGCCCCACCATTGATCCTGCGAAGGGTAAGCATATGACACAGTACATGTAATAACGTTGTAAATATAAAGTCGGAAGTTCAATGGGGAAAGGCACTTACTAGATCAATTGTTATCGAATAGTTCAACTTATTCTCTTATGTATATATAACGAAATGTTTGTTGTCCGTTGAAAGGTAAAATGTTTGTACATTGGAAATGTCGGGAGGGTGAGTCTGTAAGTTGGAGTCTATAGTTTGTATATTCTGTGTCTGTTTGATTTGACGGGCTAGTGTGTGTCTGTGATTCCCGGTGGTGTAAGAGGTGTCTATTGGTTTACAGTGATTACCGATATCTATGTTTCCATTGATGTTATGTATATTCTTGTTTGCCTACTATTCGCGTCTACTAGTACGCCATTGTTTTTGTTTTTTTGTAGTGGGTATCAGTTGTTTTGTTAACAACAATAAGTGTGTTTTTATTTGTCTACTTCGCTGACCAAAGTTCGTAAATGTCTTCTTTCTTGCTGTTTTTTGGTTGTGCTTGTTCTTGCATATACCATTGTGTTACAAGTAATCAGTCTTGTTCGATCTGCCGTCCTGTTTTAAATTTCCAGCTTGAGACATGTATGTTGTCCGTTGAAAGGTAAAATGTTTGTACATTGGAAATGTCGGGAGGGTGAGTCTGTAAGTTGGAGTCTATAGTTTGTATATTCTGTGTCTGTTTGATTTGACGGGCTAGTGTGTGTCTGTGATTCCCGGTGGTGTAAGAGGTGTCTATTGGTTTACAGTGATTACCGATATCTATGTTTCCATTGATGTGCACGGACGCAAACCACCATTATCGGGTGTCATTGAGTCCGTACCTGTTCCCATTAGTTTGTGAAAATATAGCACGTTAACGCACACAGCAGCTTTGACTTTACAATAATCAAATAGTTCTAAAATAATTTCGTTATTTATAAAACGCACTGCAAATGTTCCATAATGGCTCATTGTCTAACGGTACATTTGAGATTGCAGTTCATTAGAGAAGAATCAAGGGTATGTTGTTTTAACGGTCATATCTTTAGAATTATAAACTGTACACGGTCCCCACTTGTTTATTTTTCATAACAATTATAAATACGAATAAAGGAAACACTTTTTAAAATATTGTTTGTAGATGCAGAAAAACAAACATTGTACTGCGCCATGTGGCCATTTCGCCCATTTATGACTCATCAGTGTTATTGAATGGTCAAAATAAAGAAAGATATCCCTGTCTTACTTAATGTCCCGAATCATATGTAGAATACAGATAAATAATACCAGTTAATGTCTGTCTTAACAAGTAAAACAAAATAACGCTGTATCACGACAATTCTTTGACTTTCATGTTCTTGCTCTGCTGACATCAGTGAAAAAAAAAAAAGAATTCACGTTTTTTCTTAGATTTGTAAAATAAAATTATAAGATACTGTCGCATGGTTCACAAACTGCAACAAATCATCAGGTCGTTAGTTTTAAATATCAAATAGTGTTTTTTCTTCAAAAATTACATTTTTTTCTACAACTCCTGCTGTTTTCCGAGCAGTGTAAAGTTTTAATAAGTATTTTTGGCGGATTAATCGAGTGGTTAGCACCCGGCCTTCTACAAAGGCGGCCGCTTGGAGTATACAGAGAATATGTTTCTCTCCTGCCTACACAACTCCAACAACCCAGGTGGGGTATAAAATGGTCTGGGGTGGGTGTTGCAGTATCTGTGCTGTTACATTCAAGTGAGGTGGCACCATAAATGATACTGTTGGAAACACGGTCCCACTACAAACAGAAAACAATTCATCTCCAGCACACACGCAGGCATACACACAAAGGAAGCCAGGTGGCATAGGACTAGTATACGTAGTAAGCGCCTGAAAAGGCAGCTCCTGTGAATTCCTCAAAATTGTATTGATTAAGGCACATGCTTATTATATTGGTTGTAAAAATTGTATATCTATGCACTGTAAAGCGCTTTAGAGTGTCTTAGGTAAGCTAGATAGGACGCTATATAAAATGCTGTATATTGTTATAATTATTACAAGCTAACCGAAACATCATATATATGATATTGCCCTTTTTCAGTAACAATAAGTGAGTTTTATTTATTATAAAATGACATATATAGGCAGACAGTTTTGTGATATTGCCATCTAGTAACCATATACTTATATTAAAGTAGGATGGAATTGAAGTGTTATTCATTGTTGAAACATTTGTCCACCTCTGTCACAGTGATCACTTGTCTGCCCAGTTTTAGCCTTAACAAAACAGAGGCGTTTAAAGAATTACAGAACGTCAGCATTTAGGACTGCTCAGCTTTTTGCATATTTGGTCATCACTTATGTGTGCTTACATTGCGGTGATCATTCAGAGTTTGTCGGAAATAACTTAATTCCGTTTTTGCTTTTCCATATGTTTTTGTTAACAAAAATAAGATGGCTGTGATATTTAAGCAAGCTTGATAAAACGTTTTCATTAAAAGCCATTCTAGGCAAATACATATCTAATAATAGGGCTCGACCCAAGGGTGCATCCATAATTGTGTTTGTTTCTTTATGCCATGTTAGCACACATGTTTGGTTGTATGGTTGCAGGAATATCAAAAACTTGTATTTCCATGTTATAAACCTGTAATAGGGCCTAAGCGGCGGGGCTGAACCCTGAAAGTACTTGTTGTAGACTAAGTGTATCCATATCTTCATGACCAGCAATTACATAAGTGGTTGGCTGTCTCTACCATTTCCATACAAATGCAATGACCAAGAGACTAAATCATAACCAGCAGGCTATCATAAAAGCATGAGTGTACTCGTCCTTGAATGCCAAGCCAGCACAGATATGGTCAAAGAGTTGAGGTCTCAACCGTTCCCTGATTTGATCCAAACACTTAGTCCCCATGCCCATGCAATGGTAACGGTAACATGGTTATGGGGGGGGGGGGGGGGGGGGGGGGGGGGGGGGGGTACAATTTAATCCATTTGCATAATGTAAGTATTATGTGTACCAAGCATGGTTAAAATTGGTACAGTGTTTTAGGAGGAGATACCAATTCATGTTCTTATTCATATTCATTTTGTCTACAGACAGATATCTGCATTGACAGACAACCGAACCACATTATAACCCCTCCCTCATATTATACATTTAGTGGCCTTGTAGGGAAACCAAGCTCGAGTGAAAAATTTATGAGGGAAAAACAAAGTATCATTCTTCTCTAATGCAAGAGTACTACATAACTTAAGTATATATACTAGTAACCTAGAACAATAACAAAACAATGAAGATAAATCTGGCTACCGCACCATTGTTGTCTATTTCATCAATATGGAACTCAGATGTGGTACGTTTAGCTAATAATTCTAGAAAAGACTCTACATAAGAAATATGCCTGGAGAAACACTAGATTATATATATATATAATTATCCCCGTTTGCCTTCTGCTCCTTTCTCCTCCAACTGACTATATATTCCCTATTTAAGAACCAAGCAAAAGCTACATTGACCATCTTGGTCTTTTGGAGAAATCATGTTCCTTTGGTATTTTGTCTGTTGTCTGAAAAATTAGCAGGTCAGGTATCCATTGTGTAAACACTGCCATAGCCTTTTCTATTTTAGAAAAGTCCTTGCATTGATATAAGGATTTAAAAAAACCTATAGCATATCTGTATCACAATGTATTACCAGGTGAAATTTCAGTTTGAACTTCTGGTTCCTGAGATAATCTCCAAGTGGTAACAGACAAACAGACGGACAGAGTACAGATAGACAGATGGACATCATGATTACTAATTGAATACGCAGATCCCGAATAAATTCTGACCAACTTTGTTAAGATAAACATAGTTTGGCCTTATGATTAACATTTGACCAGTCCTGAACAGCTTTATTGATTTTGGAGGGATTTTATTCAAATTTAGCCTGGAGCATCCTTGGGCGAAGTGGACTCAATTTTGCATAAACGGAGGGTGTGGCTATCCGAAAATTGGGGGCAGAAATAAATGACCTAATGAAGGGCGGGTATTGCTGAGAGACATAGCCAATATTTGGAAATAGTTGCAGTATTGTATGTAATAAGAATAATTTTCCATAGTTGCTTTATATTATTCAGGTTAGCGATACAGGCCATCTGGGCCTCTTGTTTTTGTTTCCAGTTACACTCTTGACGTTATATTTTTTTTTTCTTGATCTGCTATGTAACCCTGGTAAATACTATCCGCAATATATCGCTCGGCTATAGAGAACATCTCTTTAGCTCGATTGGTTGAGCGTAAGACTAGTAAGGCTGAGGTCCGGGTTCGATCTCGAGCGGAGGCAGTGATTTATATTTAATTAAATGTTGTAATGGAGAAAATCGATCGTGTTCGGTATGTTTCTAACGGACTATTGTTCAAGTTTAAAAGCGCAAAAATGGAGAATATAGAACATTTAGAAAGTGTTAAATTGTTATTATGTTTGTATGCGAATTCATCTTTTTTTCGGTCTAGGAAATATCCGTTACGTTTATCGGTATTCCAAATTATTTGCACGTGTGTGTTCTTTGTTAAGAAATGTCTGAGTATGGGCGTTGACTCCTCCACTCAGATGACTTTGTCCTTTCATCCGGGCGTCCGTTACGTTGTTGAAGTGTTTCAATTTCAATATCTCTCAATTAAAGAGGACATAACCATATGATAGCGGTTTCATCAAAATGATTTGATTGTTAACGAATGTCTTTACATTGAGATAGAAGTAAAATCTAAGTTCGGTTTTAGTTTTCGCACTGGTTTGGTTTAAGACGATCAATAAATAGCCTTTATTAATTTTCTGCAATTAAAATTGAATAATTGCTTTAATACTAGTTTATTTTTTCATTAATTACATTGTTTTATAGAATTTTCAGAAACATTACAACTTCGGAGAGCTCCACGAGGACAGAAGGAGGACTCTGGAACATGTCTGTGACAGAAGTACACACGGCTATTACGGGAAGTCGAAAGGATCTACCGTGGCGAAAAGACTGGTGATCGACCACAAGCACCATCTCGTCTATTGTGCGGTTCAAAAAACTGGATCAACATTTTTAAGAAGTCTTATGCGCGTTGTTGGTAGAGAAGGAGTGAAAAATGTCGACACTCGATCGATGATGTCTATTAAGGAAAAGGATATAGACTTAACAGAATTCCATTATATACTTTCCAGCTCGTTTAAGATGATGTTTACTCGTGAGCCATATAGTAGGCTGTTTTCCGGATATGTCGATAAACTCTTCACTGTAAATACATTGTACTGGAAGGTTACAGGTACGTACATTAAAAACAACATTTTGAAACCTAAAAGTAAACGCCCAACTCAGTGTGGACATGGTATAACGTTTCCTCAATTTATAAAATACGTCATCGAATCGGAGAGAACAGGAGTACACACCGATAGGCACTTCACGCCAATCTACGAGCACTGTCGACCGTGTCAGATACCTTACGATTTTATAGGGAAGATGGAAACGTTTGCGAACGATTCCCTTATTCTGCTGAACGCTTGGAACAAAAGATACGGTATAAATATAACATATGATGATTTTGAGGTTGACACGGCTTTACAGCGGTCAATATCACATACCGGCCGTCTATACAGCATGCGAACAAAAATGGAAAAGTGCATTTCATTTCATAGTGGCATGCAGAAAATATGGAGGGATCTTCAAATTCGAGGATTTTTATCAAAACAATCTAGATTACCGTTTACAGAGTCAGAAGCTGCAGGTGTAAATAGAACACAACTTTCGGACGCTTTGACAAAAGCTTTCAAAAGTACAACCGACCGAGCAGCGACCCGTAAGCAGAAAAAGGAGGCTCTGGTAGAGGCATACCGACAGGTTCCCATGGAAGACCTGGTAAAACTCCGGGAAGTGGTACGGCCTGACTGTGAACTGTTTGGCTACAACGTTTCGCCGGATTACATCTTTAACCGTAGCGATTCATCTTACGCTTCGAGTTCCTTTAGATATTTCGATATCGACGTCTGATTCCTGTGAATGTTGGGTTATTTGTGAATCATGTGTATTATGAATTGTTTCATTAACATTCTTTATGAACTTCCGGGAAAAGATATTTTCGTTTTCTTTATTCATGATTTGGATTATTTCATATGAATGATTGTGATACGTTGACGCAGACTTGGTGATAGAGATGACCTTATATTTGCCTACAGTAGAACAGGTAGCATTAACGTGATTCTCTCAACGTGATTTTCACCAACAACGTCGATGTGTTCATATACAATATTTCACTATTGCAATTATGATTTAAACACAATACAAGAGAGATCCATTTACAGACATTTAGCCCTTTGGTGACTATGTACGAGTTATTAAATATTTACTACAAGTCGTAAAACACAACAGTTTCAAACTGGGTACATCAGACAGTCACTATTTAATAAATAAAAGCACCTCATCAGCAACGTAAGGGACCATCATATTAGAGTGCCAATAAATGTAATGTATATGTGAAATGTGAAGAAGAGTAAGATAAGGATCGCTGCTGAACCCGTGTCAGAGGATAATTTTAGAAAAGAAGAAACTGTATCAATAGTTTTTTCAATCAGTTTCCAGGTTGATGCATTTAACGGTAAAGCAGAATACGATTCGTGTTAACCCTCGTGCAGTAATATTGCTGAAGTCTGTTGTCATTTTTGTGTGGTTAATGCCGATATGGAATTTTCCTACGCCATCTTGAAAATTAAAATATGTTTGGTATACTGTGTATACCTGTATGAAATATTGCATTCGGAAATAAAAAAAACTTTAAACTTGAACTTGTTGCTTCATTATGCGATGTTGACTTCTGGGAATCCAAATTGTTGTGACTCATGGATATAACAACAAAGTATACTGTTTAAACATTGTATAACACAAAGTACAATGTTAACACATTGTATAACAGCAAAGAACAACGTTAACACATTGTATAACAGCAAAGTACAAGATCAACACGTTGTATAACAGCAAAGTATAATGTTAACACATTGTATAACAGCAAAATACAATGTTAACACATTGTATAACAGAAAAGAACAATGTTAACACTGTATAACAGCAAAGTACAATGTGAACACGTTGTATAACAGCAAAGTACAATGTTATCACATTGTATAACAGCAAAGAACAATGTGAACACATTGTATAACAGCAAAGAACAATTTTAACACACAGTATAACAGCAAAGAACAATGTTAACACATTGGATAAAAGCAAAGTACAATGTTATCACATTGTATAACAGCAAAGAACAACGTTAACACATTGTATAACAGCAAAGATCAATTTTAACACACTGTATAACAGCAAAGAACAATGTTAACACATTGGATAACTCAAAGTACAATGTTAACACATTGTACTTTGCTGTTATACAATGTGATAACACTATACTTTGCTGTTATATAACGTGTTGATATTGTACTTTGCTGTTATACAATGTGATAACATTATACTTTGCTGTTATACAACGTGTTGCTATTGTACTTTGCTGTTATACAATGTGATAACATTATACTTTGCTGTTATACAATGTGATAACACTATACTTTGCTGTTATATAACGTGTTGATATTGTACTTTGCTGTTATACAATGTGATAACACTATACTTTGCTGTTATATAACGTGTTGATATTGTACTTTGCTGTTATACAATGTGATAACATTGTACTTTGCTTTTATCCAATGTGTTAACATTGTTCTTTGCTGTTATTCAATGTGTTCACATTGTACTTTGAGTTATACAATGTGTCAACATTGTTCTTTGCTGTTATACAATGTTAACACATTGTATAACACAAAGTACAATGTTAACACACTGTATAACAGCAAAGTACAATGTCAACACATTGTATAACAGCAAAGTACAAAGTTAACACATTGTATAACAGCAAAGCACAATGTTAACACATTGTATAACAGGAAAGTACAATGTTAACACATTGTATAACACAAAGTACAATGTTAACACACTGTATAACAGCAAAGTACAATTTTAACACACTGTATAACAGCAAAGAACAATGTTAACACATTGGATAAAAGCAAAGTACAATGTTATCACATTGTATAACAGCAAAGAACAATGTAAACACATTGTATAACAGCAAAGTACAAAGTTAACACATTGTATAACAGCAAAGATCAATTTTAACACACTGTATAACAGCAAAGTACAATGTCAACACATTGTATAACAGCAAAGTACAAAGTTAACACATTGTATAACAGCAAAGAACAATGTTAACACATTGTATAACAGCAAAGAACAATTTTAACACACTGTATAACAGCAAAGTACAATTTTAACACACTGTATAACAGCAAAGTACAATGTGTTAACATTACACATTTATATTTTCTCTGCATCCTTCTATTGCAATGCATTGAGAAGACAATTGTTGTTATGCGACTATAACAAAATTGCTCTTGTAACGCCATCAATCTCTATTGTGACGTCATCAATTTCATTGTTGTCAAGAGTTAATTTGCTGTTAAAAGCGTAACTACTCTATCTTAATGTAAATATAAATTATGAATAGTTTAGCAAATATTGTTATGGTCCTATAATTTCCATAATAGACACACTAACATAAAGCCATGTCGGTCTTTATTGAGTTTGTCATTAATAGCAATGCGTGTTGTACATGTGGGACCATTACAACATTTGCTAACATTGTCATTGCTTACATAACAGCTAAGTACAGTGTATTAATTAGTAGATAAATGTTTGTGAACATGAATATATCACCCAGTCCAAACACAATATCATTGTGTTTATGTCAAACTAATTTTATTTCAACCTGACCTGCTTGGATTATTTTCACTTGAGTTCATATAACATTTGTGGTATCACTCAGTTTGCTTATATGTGTTTCTATTGATATAGTTTTAAGTTCAAGTTACTGAGCAAACTCACTTATACCGCCCTCCTATTTTGGTTTGGCACGTCCTTAAATGACCATAGCTGTTAGAAGGACCTAAAACAGAGAAACCAATCCCTGTTTGGTAAGTTATAATTGTCTGAAAAACTATCAAACACATGGTGAAACATTTGTGACGATGATGTTTTTTAATTATTTGACAAAACAGATAAAATAATAAATTAAAAACTTAAAATGATTAATAAATACATCAATGCTAATAATATGATTATGATAATTGCTTAATTCCAATCGTCGACTATACACACAAATTAGCTTTTTCTCGGCTTTAGTGGGTTTCATCTCCGGTGGGTTTCATCACCCAGTGCCATGGAAAACTTTTAAATAATAAACGATTATGATAAATGATAATTCAGAGTAAACTCTTAACTGAAAAACACTCATGGAAGATTACAAATTGGGGTAGTCAAAAATGTTTACTTTCTTTTACTTTCTGTGTAGACACTAAATTTTGAAATACCTGCTTCCTTTTTTTTCGTATATCCAAGTGACTATTTTACCGAAAAAGACCATATATTGTAATCCATCAGATCTCGTTATATATTATATATTTATCTCATAGCAGTTCTTTCACAACTTCTGCACAATCAGCATCATAACAAATGTTAAACTTTAAATGAAAATGATGTGATGGAAAATGCTTTTCTGTATTGAAGTTGATAATAACCGTACCGCGTGTTTAGACAGATTGTCATTGTTGAAGTACATTTTTTTAACTGCATTGTCAATAGTGTATTGATCACTTCATTTGTGGACGACGTGGCATGCTAGACAAAAAGGTGCTTTTGTGAATAATCTTTATCATACATTATATACATTTGCATGTTACAAACATGTTTAAAAAGGAGATTTTATTTTACCTTTTTGTAAATCGTTTCTCCCTATAAATATATATACATTATGTATGTATGACGCATTCATTGCTTCCATCGTACATGCAATAAAAATAATATTCAGGGACATGAAAAGTAAATTAAACACAAGCCTATCCATATTCCGTTCCAATGGGGGTTTCTAGAATATATGTACCCAAAAGCTTCAATGACATGGAAGAAATGATCTTGAGCTAATATACCTTATACATATTTATACAAAAACCATTACGACATCAAAACGTTCATCAACAATCATTTTAAGAACAGAGAGGACATTCATATTTTAGCTGTATTTTAATTATTTAGATATCTTGAGACGAGAATATGTGATTTGTGTACATTGAAGACAATATAAAATATGGTAGTATAATGTGTTCACCCTCTTTGTAAAAAAACCCATTTATTCTATTTTATTCTAATTATCAATGATGTCCAAGGAGCTGGCAAAATAAAAATCAGCCGTTGACTGTCCACAATACTTTTCGGGCAACAGTATTTACATCATAGGAACCCTCATGCCGAATGCCTTTTAGCGGGGACAACTGTGCCTTACAATTTTATTATAATATGTTTAATCCTTCATTAGAAAAAAAAGAGTAAATTAATGGAAAATTGATCCATTAACACGGAAAATGATACTTCTCCATATCAACCACTAATGAAATATTCCCTACAGACCGTGACGTCACAGGAAGGATTTTCTGCTTTAAATGAAGATCCATGTAATCTTTATTTTCCTGGTCGGTCTCCATATGTTATCTTTATTGGTTTATCATTGGGACATCTGCAATATCTGTTTGAAATAAAGAAAAATGTCGCAAAGACCATTCACATGATAAATTGGTTGTGACGGATTTGAAATCCAAACATACATATGTGACAGAAAGGTATAAAGGGACGATAAACAACAGCTGTTTATTAAGCTGATGACATATTTAATCTGATTATATCCATTCTACCGACAACTCCTAATAACATTAAAACGTCAATACAACTGTGTTCCTATCGATTATATTAATGGGTTTTTTGCGAAGGTTGAACTATTTTTACATACGTACTATGGTGTTGCTAATCTTTGCATACTTATAACCTAAGCAGACAAACAGCTGACGTGAATTAATTTGAATATGCATTTCACTCAGGATGAAAAGAAGAAGCCATTTTCTTAGACTCGACAACATTTGTTGTTGTTTTGTTGAACACCAAAAGTACAATCTAAAATGAATCCGAAATTACTTAGAAATTAACCTCTCCGTGAGAAAATAAATATAAAACACGTTTATGGTCGACTGGATATGAATGGTTTCCTTAACCCTATAACATAAGAAAATCCTAATTCATTTCAATGCGACATGCAAGTTTCCGTAAATTCTCAGCAATACTGAAGGCAAAACTACTTAACTTGAACCTTTTTAATTCTGATAATTAGTTTAATAAACAAAAAACAAAAAGAATGTCTAAAATGTTAGTATAAACGTGTGTTTAATAAGCCGTGTGTTTAGTAAGCATAACCGTGTGTTTGATAAGCCATGTGTATAGTTATTATTACCGTGTGTTTGATAAGCCATGTGTTGAGTAAGCTTTACCGTTTGTTTGATGAGCCGTGTGTATAGTTGGCATTACCGTCTGTTTAACAAGCCGTGTGTATAGTTAGCATTACCGTCTGTTTAACAAGCCGTGTGTATATTTAACATAACTGTCTGTTTAACAAGCCGTGTGTATAGTTAACATAACCGTGTGTTTAACAAGTCGTGTGTATAGTTAACATAACCGTGTGTTTAACAAGCCGTGTGCATAGTTGGCATTACCGTGTGTTTGATAAGCCGTGTGTATAGTTAGCATTACCGTCTGTTCAACAAGCCATGTGTATAGTTAGTATTACCGTCTGTTTAACAAACCGTGTGTATAGTTAACATAACTGTCTGTTTAACAAGCCGTGTGTATAGTTGGCATTACCGTGTGTTTGATAAGCCGTGTGTATAGTTGGCATTACCGTGTGTTTGATAAGCCGTGTGTATAGTTGGCATTACCGTCTGTTAAACAAACCGTGTGTATAGTTGGCATTACTGTCTGTTTAACAAACCGTGTGTATAGTTAACATAACCGTGTGTTTAACAAGCCGTGTGTATAGTTGGCATTACCGTGTGTTTGATAAGCCGTGTGTATAGTTGGCATTACCGTCTGTTCAACAAGCCGTGTGTATAGTTGGCATTACTGTCTGTTTAACAAACCGTGTGTATAGTTAACATAACCGTGTGTTTAACAAGCCGTGTGTATAGTTGGCATTACCGTGTGTTTGATAAGCCGTGTGTATAGTTGGCATTACCGTCTGTTCAACAAGCCATGTGTATAGTTAGTATTACCGTCTGTTTAACAAGCCATGTGTATAGTTAGCATTACCGTCTGTTGAACAAGCCGTGTGTATAGTTGGCATTACCGTCTGTTTAACAAGCCGTGTGTATAGTTGGCATTACCGTCTGTTCAATAAGCCATGTGTATAGTTAGTATTACCGTCTGTTTAACAAACCGTGTGTATAGTTAACAAAACTGTCTGTTTAACAAGCCGTGTGTATAGTTAACATAACCGTGTGTTTAACAAGCCGTGTACATGTGTATAGTTGGCATTACCGTGTGTTTGATAAGCCGTGTGTATAGTTGGCATTACCGTCTGTTTAACAAACCGTGTGTTTAGTTAACATAACTGTCTGTTTAACAAGCCGTGTGTATAGTTAACATAACCGTGTGTTTAACAAGCCGTGTGTATAGTAGGCATTACCGTGTGTTTGATAAGCCGTGTGTATAGTTGGCATTACCGTCTGTTTAACAAGCCGTGTGTATAGTTGGCATTACCGTCTGTTTAACAAGCCGTGTGTATAGTTGGCATTACTGTCTGTTTAACAAGCCGTATGTTTAGTTAGCATTACCGTCTGTTTAACAAGCCGTATGTTTAGTTAGCATTACCGTCTGTTGAACAAGCCGTGTGTATAGTTGGCATTACCGTCTGTTTAACAAGCCGTGTGTATAGTTGGCATAACTGTCTGTTTAACAAGCCGTGTGTATAGTTGGCATAACCGTGTGTTTGATAAGCCGTTTGTATAGTTAACATAACCGTTTGTTTAACAAGCCGTGTGTATAGTTGGCATAACCGTCTGTTTGATAAGCCGTGTGTATAGTTAACATAACCGTTTGTTTAACAAGCCGTGTGTATAGTTAACATAACCGTCTGTTTAACAAGCCGTGTGTATAGTTGGCATTACCGTCTGTTTAACAAGCCGTGTGTATAGTTGGCATAACTGTTTGTTTAACAAGCCGTGGGTATAGTTGACATAACCGTGTGTTTGATAAGCCGTGTGTATAGTTAACATAACCGTTTGTTTAACAAGCCGTGTGTATAGTTAACATAACCGTTTGTTTAGCAAGCTGTGTGTATAGTTAACATATCCGTCTGTTTAACAAGCCGTGTGTATAGTTGGCATTACCGTCTGTTTAACAAGCCGTGTGTTTAGTTAGCATTACCGTCTGTTTAACAAGCCGTGTGTATAGTTGGCATTACCGTCTGTTCAACAAGCCGTGTGTATAGTTGGCATTACCATCTTTTTAACAAGGCGTGTGTATAGTTGGCATTACCGTCTGTTTAACAAGCCGTGTGTATAGTTGGCGTTACCGTCTGTTTAACAAGCCGTGTGTATAGTTGACAGTACCGTCTGTTTAACAAGCCGTGTGTATAGTTGGCATTACTGTCTGTTTAACAAGCCGTGCGTATAGTTAGCATGACCGTCTGTTTAACAAGCCGTGTGTATAGTTGGCGTTACCGTCTGTTTAACAAGTCGTGTGTATAGTTAGCATAACCGTCTGTTTAACAAGCCGTGTGTATAGTTAACATAAATGTGTGTTTGATAAGCCGTGTGTTAAGTTAGCATTACTAAATCAAATAAAAAGAAGACGTATTTTATCGACAGAGGTGTGTTAAATATTCTTGTGTAAATATCAATAGGTCATAACATATTTTCTTTCTTTGGTTAAAAACTTATTTTAAGTATGAAACTATTGATTTTCCTATAAAGGGCAGTTAACGGAAAATAAAATCCTTAACAGAATATAAATATATAAAACATAAAATAGGGATATTGCAGTCCTGTATAGTGGATTTGTGTGACAGCTTCAAACTGAAATAGAATCACAACTTGGATTACCAGGCGAAGCACGATGTCGTTCCTTCACCTCAAAACGGCAATCCTGACTCTTCTGTGCTGTATTCTCGTTGTTATCTTTATTGAGTTTCGACGTAAGTATTGTTTTCGTTTTTTTTTAAATTTTACTCTTACACCACCAATGATAGATTTACATTACAGGCTACCAATAAGGTAAAGAAAGACAAAGCGATGAGCATTTAAGTGGGGGCAGCAGGACTTTTCAATGTTCGCTTTCATTGTTCGTTGAAATCATCTTTTTTAACCTCGTTATTTTTTTTTATCATAGGTCATACTATCTTTAATATGTTTTTGTTTTTACCTTTATACTCTAGAGCAGAATTTGTTTTTTAAATTCAACCCACCTTTTCATGTTAATTTTGGAAAGCGATAAGTTCCATGTGATGTTAATTAAAGTACGAAAATAACATTTGATTTGACACTTTTTAGGACTAACAATCAGAACAATTAACTATAATCTAATTTAAAAGGAGTATTTGAAGGTTAGTCTTAATTTAAGCAATTCGGACGATTGAAACACGAAATTTTCTATTTATTTTACCTTTGTCTTTGTATAAGAAGATATTAATAGGATAGTCATGTTGTAATATTAGATACAGAGCATGTACATGTACCTATTGTTCAGTAAGAAAAAGAATATACCAGAACCCCCTCAGACTTAAACAAGCAAAGGCTTGGGATGAAAAGCTTTTGCACTTCATATATTTAAGTTTAAGAACTTTTTGGAAAACTTGTTTATGTACGTAAAGCTTCACTGATGACTGTTGTTTTGTTATTATGGTTATTCAACTCGATTAAGTTAAGAATTAAACTGTTCAAGTGCCTTTGCAATTTAAAAATTAACTAATTAGGGTGGGATTAACATGACACCCAACAACGTCACAGAACCTTGATCTTCATATCGTACACTGATAAACTTGACCTTCATATCGTACACTGATGAACTTGACCTTCATATCGTACACTGATGAACTTGACCTTCATATCGTACACTGAGGAATTTGACCTTCATATCTTACACTGATAAACTTGACCTTCATATCTTACACTGATGAACTTGACTTTCATATCTTACACTGATAAACTTGACCTTCATATCGTACACTGATAAACTTGACCTTCATATCTTACACTGATGAACTTGACCTTCATATCGTACACTGATGAACTTGACCTTCATATCGTACACTGAGGAACTTGACCTTCATATCGTACACTGAGGAATTTGACCTTCATATCGTACACTGATGAACTTGACCTTCATATCGTACACTGATGAACTTGACCTTCATATTGTACACTGATGAACTTGACCTTCATATCGTACACTGAGGAACTTGACCTTCATATCGTACACTGATGAACTTGACCTTCATATCGTACACTGATGAACTTGACCTTCATATCGTACACTGATGAACTTGACCTTCATATCGTACACTGATGAACTTGACCTTCATATCGTACACTGATGAACTTGACCTTCATATCGTACACTGATGAACTTGACCTTCATATCGTACACTGATGAACTTGACCTTCATATCGTACACTGATGAACTTGACCTTCATATCGTACACTGATGAACTTGACCTTCATATCGTACACTGATGAACTTGACCTTCATATCGTACACTGATGAACTTGACCTTCATATCGTACACTGATGAACTTGACCTTCATATCGTACACTGATGAACTTGACCTTCATATCGTACACTGATGAACTTGACCTTCATATCGTACACTGATGAACTTGACCTTCATATCGTACACTGATGAACTTGACCTTCATATCGTACACTGATGAACTTGACCTTCATATCGTACACTGATGAACTTGACCTTCATATCGTACACTGATGAACTTGACCTTCATATCGTACACTGATGAACTTGACCTTCATATCGTACACTGATGAACTTCCTTCATATCGTACACTGATGAACTTGACCTTCATATCTTACACTGATGAACTTGACCTTCATATCTTACACTGATGAACTTGACCTTCATATCGTACACTGATGAACTTGACCTCAATATCGTGCACTGATGAACTTGACCTTCATATTGTACACTGATGAACTTGACCTTCATATCGTACACTGATCAACTTGACCTTCATATCGTACACTGATGAACTTGACCGTAGACTTCATCAACCTGCATCTATCAAAATGTTTTGATGCAAAATTGTCAGCCGTCGACATCAATCACGATTTGATTTTTGACTTAAGTACAAACCTTTCAATAGAGAGTCAACTGCAACATGCAAACACCGTTTTGAAGAGATGTCGTTATCAAAAGGAAATTTCCAAAAAGGGTTACGCTATAATTTTACAATTAATTGTAAGTCGTCTTTGTTGGTCAAGCGGTAAGTACACTGTAGTGTAGCCTGTACGTTGAAAAAAGTTTGGACTGTTTGAAAGATGGCGAATTCCAAAACAAGTAGAAGGTGAGTTCTCGGAATATGTTCGATTTTTCTACTTGAAAACTTTTTAGCGATCAGCGGATTCACTAAAGCAAAAGATAATAGATCTGAGTGTTATAAAATGCTAAAAGTCCACTCCAGAAAAGCATTTTTATTAAAAGTACAGTGTTTGTAAGGTGACGGGAGCCGGCAATCGGGACGTTCAGTCGACGACGAGTTTGAATTTACTTAAAGAACGGGTTCAAAAATTATTCCGAGTATTTATGGACCCATGATATAGGTTCAGAAGCTTTCAAAGATTAATAATTATGTACACTGGTTGCGAACTGTCTTATAAACAAGTAGAAATGTGCATTTTAAATAGGTGACCTAGATATATATTTGTGCGGTTTGGACACTCCGTAACTTACGACTGTGTACGGTTGCTACATAGAAAGCAAAGTTGTAAAATTGTAAGGTGGTGACTGCATGTTCGCACGAAGCGATTGAGCGGTTAGGACTTCCATCACTTAAATGTTGTTTGTCATTATAATTACATATACAAAGAAGCATAGTTTACCAATGAAGCTGCACTACTGTTACGAAGGTAGCCTTGGGTATGAAAACCTGCAGAATATCATTGACAATTCATGCTCAATAATGGAAAAACATATAGAAAACTTGATCCTTCTTAAGGAAAAAAATAGGTTAAAGACTCATAATTGTATTATCATTCCCCAAAATAATCCTTCAAGTATATTAGCATAAGTCTCTGATGAAAGTGGTTCATGTGTTGTTAATATTGACCCAAAGCCAGCTGTACTGTCACAGCACAATCAGGATAAGGAGTTACGATGACTTTGACAGTACAGCTGGCTTTGGGTCAATATTAAGAACATATGAACCACTTTCATCAGAGACTAATGAGACGGATGAACAAGGATCAAGTTTCCATGCTACTCTACAGTGAAGTAAAGATTGAGGCAAGCGACAAATGTAGGAGTCAATATTTTTGAAAGTGCAATCAAGGAATTTTGCAAAATGCTTGATACCATACCAGTCCTGATAAGCTCTTCAATACGAAAACAAAAAAAGTCCGCCAGGAGTGATATGAACAAAAAACATGCTTAAAGGGGAGCTATTCAAAAGTCATCTAATGCATCTGTTGCAAAGCTTGTTAATTGAAAGCTTGGTAGACGTGAATGGGGATTAAATATACAAATTGATTATGTTGCACTTCAAGTACGGCGGATTGTGGTGTTAGACTATTGTTAAATTTAAGAGTATATAATCTTTTGCCGACAAATTTGACCTTCAAAAGTTTCCGAGGAGAGTCATGACTATGCGTACGAACAGACTTTGTGCGAAATCATTAGTTTAATGTATTCTCCAATCTAGTTTCGAAAAATCGCGAGGAATAGTTTTATTTGAATTTTATCGAAATATTCAAAACACAGAGAAATAGATCGATTGCAGTGTAATTCCAACATGAAGAGACCACAATGTTCCTATATAGATCCTTAAGGTTTTCAAACGAAACATGTTTGGGTAGTCGGGTGGCGCTGTGGATAATGCACACGCCTTTAACCAAGGCGACAGGGGTTCGATTCCCCGATCGGTCGGGAATAGGTATGAATTTCCTGTGCGACCACGTGTATTTTCTACAGGTACTCTGATTTCCTCGCACGTTGTGCAGTAATGCCAATCAATATTATGTCTCCAGTCGTTGTCTACGGTACAATTACCATTCAGTTCTTTTCTTAATTTCTTAATTTTCTTTTTGCTCCACAAACAAATCCCAAACCACACTCAATACCATAGACAAAACGGAAGGTTTTGCGATTCTGGAGCTGAAAGTTATTGTAGAATGTTAGTTGTTTTAATGAGTAAACTGTTAGATAACATGTCCATTCACCACCTCAACTTCCTACTGTTGTCCCTATTGATGTATAGATATCAGTTTCTCAAATCGGAACTATCACAACCCAAGCTGATTACAGCTCTAGTCAGTAAACATTCTGTAAACATCATAGTAGGCATTAGTCATTCTCTATACACGTATAGGCATTCACGCGAAATGTACACGTGGTCCATTCAATCGAAAACCAATAAACCCTTACTTTCCGCCAAAGTAAATAATAAAAATCATTATTCCATTGTAAAAATGCTATTTTTGTTATGAACAAAATATTATGCAATGTTTCTTTCTTTTTGGTGTACGTTATATCCAATCGGTGTAAAATGTAAATCTTACAATGCTAAATGCACGCTAAGTAAGTAGTCATTGATCTCATGTTTTAATATCAAGCTGGCAGTAAGTGACATTTACATTTAGCCGTTAAAGAAGTCGGTTTTAGATAGGTAACGTAATCCGTCTTAGGCCAGGTAGTCGATAACAATTTCCTGTGAAAGCCAGCTGGTATATGTTGTCATCATCGTTATCCCTCGAAATCGACTTCCAGATATTTAAGAACGCACGTGCTATTTTGAGAAAGGGAAAGTCTTAACGCCAACGGCTCTAATTAATCAGCATTATGCAGATCGGTCGTACGAATATGAACTTTGAATTAAGGACACTGCATGCTCTCCGACATCAGCTGCTTGTAAAATCGATCTTTACTTACACCGTGACCAACGGTGATGAATTAAGACTAAATAGCACGTACAGTATAACAATTTTTTCCCCATCGTGAATTTTCCTTTTCTTCTTAATAACACGCTTGCGTCCCTCTTTGGTTTATACATGTCAACAATCACGGGCTTTCTCCAAAGGTTACTGATTCCATCACAGGGACCAGAGAATTTGTCAGTTATACTAGGATCTAAACTAAAGTGTTCAGAGTAGTTTTACATGTTTTAGGGGTTTAGATCGACTTTCAGTAAAAATGATACCCCTATGATTATATAATCGAGAAGGGAGGAAAGCTCTCGATGTCGAAAAGTCGACCCCACCTAACTTTCTTGCATCAAAAACAACAACTTTAGTTGGTCAACGGGAAAATTCTAAGTACCGTTAGAAAGATGAATACTTTTCCTTTTAAAAACATCCTTTATGCACGTAAAATGTATTTTCCTTCCCCGGCATGAACTCCGTTTCCTCCAAAAACACACCCCATTTCAGAGTTTCAAAGTTTTTCGCAGTCAGCTTGCCACTTTTTTAATATTAATGAGGCTGAGGTCAGCGCGTCCCGAGACCCGTGGTGTGATTGGCTGGAAGCGCAGCCAGTTTTACGCTAAACCAACCAACACTGCATGTTTCAGCGCTCGCATTTTTACCGAAAGTCGATCTCAACCCTAAAACTTGTAAAATTACTCTGATCACCTTAGTTTAGGTCCAAATATAGTTGTTACAAACTCCCTGTGGATTCCATGATAAATTTTGTGTGCTGACGCGAATATGTAAAGGTTGACCAAGGCTATAGGGAAGATGCATGGTCACGTTCTCGATCTCATTAGGAAACATTTATATCTTTGTGACTTTTTTATTATGCTCATGAGTGTGCCTAATAGTTTCACTGTCACTTCCTGTGTTCTCATTTTGAGAACGAGATTTCATTGTATTGACCCGGATGTTCATGGCGGGTGTTGCCGGTGAACAGAAGACTCCCCTTGACACCTGGTCATAGTTTCCTGGTATGTACATGTATTATGCTCTAGCTAAAATAACGACTGTATTTGCTCCTCGGTATTCTTCAGTTTTAATCCATGTACGCTATGTTGCAATGTTTATCTGTATCAATGATAAACATACACAAGAGTTATATCGCTAATTAAGGTGCGTCAATTAAATATTCAGCACATGTTCCTATGTTAACGTTTGACAAGCATTCCTGGTATAACTATGGAGTTTTGTAGCGTCAATTGTATATGTGATATTTATAACGGTTATATGAGAATATCCGTGCAGGTCTGCTGAACCCAAGAGGCGACGAATGTGGGACCACTAAAACTGGTGTTTTTTTCATGCGTCTTCTACTTGGGAGAAATTAAAGTAGCTATAATGAATTTGTTGCCCCAGTTGCAATACTTTGGATCAATCTATTTTCATTTCCCATCGCATCGCCGTTTCTTCAAGTTTTGTCTTCTCGAACATAACAAAACAAAAATATCCGAGGAAAACACCAAACTAATAAAGATTGGAAAAGGATTAAACGTGCACGTACACGTATTTTAACACTGTGTTTTATGTTTCAGTCATCATAAAGCCAGCTGGAGCCCCCTGGCCTACTCGAAAACGAGGCGTCCTTGGTTACACTGGACAAGATGAAATGGCGCCAAAGTCTTCCCTCAGTGTAAGTGTTTGTCATGAGTTATAGTCTGCCAGTCTATCCTAAATAATGAAGTTTACGTGTCACAGATGAATGTTCTAAGCGTCATCTTACGTGATCTGAAGAGGGTTGTAATTTCATTTTAGCTTTACCCTGACTACCAACTATTTGAGTTACATGTATGTGTTACTATTTTGAGTAGACATTAATGACCAACGTTTAGATATGATAGGAGATTTGTTGGAGTATTTACCGTCTTTCCTTTTGTTATCGTATCTGCTTATTCCCAGCTGTTGTTCCGAGTTTGTTCTAATGGATTTGGCGCTATAGTGATTGGTCTTTTCTGGTCCATTTGATGTTCTGATAATTAAACATGGTGGGCAAACCAACGCTAGATCTAAGTTAAAAGTTATAAAGTAGGCGGGTTTACATTGGCGGACAAGCTAACGCCATAATGTAAATCATAATACAAACCAACACCGCCTTCTTCCCCCCACACACACATCCCACTGTCTTTCTCTTTATCCTGACACGAAATTCAACACAGTTGAATCTCTAAGCCTGTTTAAGGTGAATAAATGTCTCGGTTGATTAGCTGCAAGACGTTATTTTATAGATGCTTTCTGATTTCTTTTGAACTTCTACTAAGCTACAGGGATTATTTCAATTGACCAGGCTCCTTTTTATTTTGAAGAACAAATGTACTGTTAGCATTATCATGAACTGACCGACAACTGTAAATTATTGGTATGTATTACGATAGAAGATTTGATAACTTAGTTGATTAGCGTTGGTGACCTACACATTTTCCTGAATTTGACAGGTGAAACATGCCGTTCAGGTGCTTTATGACATGTTTCTCTAAGGTTTTTTGTGTATTCCGTTTCCGTTGAGGCTGTGTGTATTGACAATCCATTTCAAATGTCCCATTGTTTGATTGTGTGTTGGTGCTGATCTTTTTTTTCTATATCTATATACAGATGTATTATATACACAAGGTGCATATTATTTCGAATGCAAAGATAAATAAAAAATGAAAGATATATAAAATAAAATTAGTCTAAAATCGGTAATATGTAAGGCAACCAATATAGTACGTTCTGATAAGATTCCACTACATATCTTAATCTTATGACGTTATTTGTTTTAATATGGCACTTTCCCCTCCGTCAATGAAGTGCATTCGAGACCTATTTTAGTGAGCATTATCAAATATGAATATTATAAAATTATTATCTAACCACTCTGGCTGGTAAACATTATTTCTATCATTTCATACATACATTTTTGAAACGCAACTTTTAGAAATTAATTTATTCGAACAATATCACGAGGTCAAATATTACAGCAATGTTGTTGTTGTTGTTGTTGTTGTTTTGATTACTACAACTGTACTATTTTTCTTTCACCAAGGCACATGCCAGCGCCGAACTGGTGTCTCGAGCACGGTTAAAGAAACTGAGCACGATGTGTTGGAAATACAGATCCATTATGCAGCAAAAAAATTGGAACATGATACTAGACGGCAAATTACATGTCGGTTTTTGTCCTATTCAGAAGGTGGGATCTACTTTCTGGCGGCGGGTGCTAGAATATTGTGGTGGCCGGCGGAGGTACACCTCAGTGTTTGAGGTAAAGTGGCAAGACATGAAGACACCCCATGTACAGAAATACAGAGATAGAGGTCCATCCCTTCTCGAAAGTTCTATTAAATTTATGTTCGTAAGAAATCCATATCAGCGACTGTTTTCCGGTTGGGTGGACAAGCTTCTATCACCTAATCCCATTTTCTGGGAAAAGGTTGGAGTGAGGGTAAACGAGTTTTTGAATCAAAAGTCTACATTTGATTGCGGTCACGATGTAACCTTTGCAGAATTTGTTAAGTATTTCATTCACACCCAACAGACAAAATCAGGAAGGGACCCGCACTTCATACCTATGTATGAACACTGCAGTCCGTGTCATCACAAGTTTGATTTCATTGGCACGATGGAAACATTCAACAAAGACGCCGCATATTTGATGGAAATAATCTCGAATCGTTCCCATGTCAATATTTCCATTGAAGACATGAAAGGTGCTGGTTACGACAGCTTGAACGATCATACAATGCGCCTTTATCGTTTTAAACCGGACACATTAAAATGTGTCAGTTTTCACAATGCTATGCAAAGATCATGGCGGAACCTTCAGATACGCGGTTATCTTGGAAAAAATGTGAGTTTACCGTTCACGCGAGTGGAAGCAGGCTCAGTAAAAAGGAACACATTTTTGTCCGCCCTCGTAACTGCGTACGAATCTTCCGGTTCCAAGTCGTACCGCAGAGCAAACAGACGCGAGGCAATGATGGAAGCATACGGAACCGTGTGTACGGACGACCTGGAAAGACTTCGCCAGATATTTAAACTTGACTGGATTTTGTTCGGGTACAATGACAGACCTATTGAAATATTTGAGTTGTCGCGTCATTACAACAAATCATTCAGTTTCTTTGACGTTGAGGAATAAGAAGTATGCCAATGCTTTCAAATGCTTTCTCAGAATTATAAAATGAAGATAACTCTCAAATATCTTCCAGATTATTTTCATTCATGAATTAGCGTTTTGGCGATTATGCATTTTAGTTTGAGTCAGAATTTTAACAACAATGCCTTGACGTCAAAGTTAAACAAAGCATTACTGCATAGGATTTAGAAAATCAACAATAAAATGGATCCTCTCATAGGTAAGCATTAACACACTCGGAGCTTATTTGCAGGAGTTATCTCGCTTGTTACCTGTGTGTTATGAAAGCCCATGGGCGGTAATGATTTATATACCCTTCGAAACGTTCACCGTCAAATACACTTTTGTTTGTTTGGGGTTAAATATCTTTGCAAAAACCAGGGTAATATGGAGACGGGTAAAATGCACTAGCCTATTAGACAGATCCTGTACAAATAATGGGCTGGCGGTGTGAAAGAAAAACGAGAAATTTCAACAGTGCTAGTACGTACGGTGTCCTTCAGATAAGGAACTATAAGGACATATCAAGGGTGTAACGCGAGATTTTTACACTCCAGAAAATCGTTCCTGGAACGGCACCAGAGAAGATTGATCTCAAGGCATTTATTTGTCATAATAAAAATTATACTCTGTACAAAATGATCACAAAGTATGTCCCATGCCTTAAATCTAATCGTTTAGAGAAAATGCAATAGTGATAACAACATAACGAATAAATCAATTCATGAAAAAACCCTGAGATCTCGTGAGAGTTAGGTCGAATTCACAACCTAGTGAGTTACGTTAGTGCTGGTTCTAGTCCGAGTGAATAAGATAGCATTAGTGAAGAGGAAATACATTTAGATTTTGAAATAGAAGTAAAAATAATGTTAAACTCAGGAATATCCATAATATGAATAGTGAGGTTTTCGTCAAACGAATGTTACGTACCAGTTCTATTGTTTTGATAGGAAACCGTTTGAACGATGTTCATTATTCCATCAGCACTTGTATCCTACTAAAACAATGAATTCTGAGTATTAACAATCGATCAACACTAATTGCGCTTTAGAATGAAGAATTATTCGCGACATCACACCAGAAAAACCAGCGTTTTAGCGAAGTGTTTCGTAGCAGACACGAGGGGTAACCATTTCTATGACAAATGTCCTCAAGATATTTACATTTCATATTTCATTCTAAGTGGCCGTTATGATTAACACGTTAACCCAGAGTACAGTTGATATTTTATACAAAAGTGTATTATCACATTAAATATTTAATAGATGATATATTACGTAAATCATGTACTCATGAAATTGTTGACCTTTAGGTGCGCAGTTAAAATTGTATTTTCTCGTATTTGGACACATTAATGCCATTAATATATATCTATAATCTGGATGTTTGTGCTATACATGAATCTACCAACTGAAAACAACTGCCATTAGACCATGAATACACTATGAATACAACGATTCTCGTGCAACCATTCAGCTGATTTCACACACAATGACAACTTCATATTACTACGCATAGTAGGTTTCTGAGAAGAGTTATCTACCCTTCTCCGAGACATTACAAAAATCATAAATGTTGCACCATTGAACTATCATTTTTTATTTTCTTTTATTTGAAATCAGCTAATCGGCGAAAGTCGAACATTTGAAGTTTGTGTGAAGGCTGGAGTTCTGGCTGTTCCTTTTGTTATGGTTTTCTGTCCGATACTAATATTAAAAATATTTAATTTAAAAATGTGTTTTAACTTGTTTCTATTGTAATTCATCGAAACGTAAATATCTTAATTGAATGGATTTTTTTTCATGTTCATTATAAGCTTCAATGAACAGCAGTATTCCGTCTTTGCATATTGCAGAGTTATCTTCTCTTGGGAGCAGGTATTGATTGTTACGTCACTTGTTTGTGAGAGTAACGTCATCAATTTTTGAGAAAACGACGTAATTTTCTCACGCAAACCCATGACGTAACAATCAATACCTGCTCCCAAGAGAAGATAACTCTGCAATACGCAAAGACCGAATAGCTGATCTACATATCCTGTGGAGCGCTGCTACATGAAACGCACTCCACAGGATCTGCAGATCAGCTACTCCTATTCATTGCCTCAATGTACATAAAATAAATCCATTCAATCCCTATTCAAAGGATAAGTTTGAGTCTGGTCGATCCGTTCCCTCGTGGTTGTTGGGCTGTCATTAAGTGCTTTGCTGTATTTTCTTGTTTTGCAAGAGAGTGTGGTGGTGTGTGAAGCAGAGTTGTAGTGCATAGTGTTATTTTACAATATAGATTTTATTGTGGGAAGTGTTACTTTGCTCGATGTTGTGCTGTGTGATGGCTGACTTTACCTGATAGTATAGTGTAGGTTGTGTTACTTTATCGTGTATTGTATGTTTTCGTATGTTACTAAAGATTACGGGTGAATGTTGTTACTTAATTAGAAATATATGTGTGTGGTGTTGTTTTACTAGAAATGTTCACTTTCATCTTATTCGTTTATTTCTCGTATTTTGTAAGGGGCGAAAAAAAACACCTGTTAATATATCTTTGCATGCATTATGTGTAAGAAATATTTTGAGTGTCTTATTTAACTGCATATAAATGGTTTGGAACTAACACGTGTTAAATATGAATCAGATTACTTTTTATAGTTACCGTGCCCAAATATATCAGAACAAAATTGGTTAAAATTGAAAACATAATATTTCATAAATATTGTTAGTACATATTTATTGGGATGGAGATAATTAGAATTTCATTTGCTTATATTTATGTCCCGTATAAGCGTGCGAAGCCTATTTAATTCCCGACTGCTACTTCTCTCGTCCAGTTTATTACCATGCATAAGCACAAGTGCATAAATGGCACGTGTGCCTTACACGTGACAGGGAGAAACAGTCCCGCTTTTCGCTTGCTTACATTTGCAATACGGGGAGGGGTTTGGAAGACCGTTGCATCTGAATGATTTTGGTAGACAATAATAGCTGTTTGTTTACCATTGAAATGTGTCGTAATATCACAGACTTGGTAGATTTTACAATATTCGTAATAATGTTTGTTAGCATTCTATAACATACCAGAGTGCTACACTTGGTGTTATTGTTAGATCGATGGTAATGCACACATACACAGGATACTACTACTTGTAAGTCTTTAAAAATCGATTAGCAAAATGGAGGAACGAAATTATACATCCATTTCCTATGTAAACGTAACGATAACACTAAATCAATGGAAGCTGATTTATGTATCGGTGCGCTTTAAATGTACACTTACCTTTTAACACCTTTGCTATATAAACATATCTGTCAAGGAATGATGAATTCTAAAATGTTATTGTTTTGTAATGATAAATATGTCAATGTAACTCATGAATATCCATTCAAACAACCATACGTCTGGCTGTGAATCAACCGTTAAAATAACTCGTTTTGAAGATTTGATTGATTTTTTTTATCAATATCGTTTTATCGACGATTCACACACATCCCTAATACTAATCAGAGTAAACCTTTCCTTCCAAGACTGTTCACTACATTCTTAGAATAAAATGCGGCTGAAACTCTATTCCGATGGTTATCATTTTTGCATTAACTGCGCTTCATTGGCTCCTGTATGCAAGCTACTAGAGTTTATACCGTCAAGACCAGTTTCAGGCATGAAAGAATAGATCGTATCATCCCCACTATGTCTATTTAGCTACATAATGAACTACATACCTCAGGAGACAGTTACATCAATGTATGGAGATACATATGGGGAAAATGATCCGTGTTAACAACTCAAAGATGTAACGTTAATAGGACGGGAAAATATCAAAAGTAAATATGACGAACGTTTGGTGTGTGCTCGATTGAAATATGACAGAAGCAATATTTTTGCAAATATATGTTATGGAGAAAGAATACAAAACCCGGAAATAAATCTGCTCCCAATATATTATGATTGTCAGTTATAGGTAAGCTTTTTTTTCTTGTTATACAGTGCGCATAATTATTGTGACTTGTAAACGAGCTTTAGTTCTTCGTGTACAGTGTACATAATTATTGTGACTTGTATGTTCCTGGTGTTAAAATGAAGTTATTTGTCTCTTACTCAACTATTTCATTTTATTATGCATAATATACAATATAATTACTAACAACCTCTTACATATATGCCCTTGTTAAGGTACATGTAAATAATCTGACCTCTTTACTAGTCAGGATATATCAATATATATATTTCTGGTGCATGAAATGGTATATTTCATTTTTATGTTTAATCTATCAGTATTCAAAACGTTGACGATAGGAAAATAGAAAGGTTACTGATTATCATTTTTATTAAATTGTTAGTCTTATTTCCCCGGTTCTCATTTTGATGATGTTAATGAACCCTTTCGCCCCTGAACACCGTTATGGGCTATACCATATCATTGCTTGGTAGAGTTTACTTTAGCTATATAGGGGTGAATGGGTTAACTGTAATTGGCAGGTAAATGTATGAACAAGACGACGCTTACCCTCTGATCTTTCTTTTTTGTGTACATATATTTTTGTTTTGTATTTTGTACCAGGGCCTAGATCATCGACATTGAGTATGAGTTTGTGTGCATGAATTTTTGTTTTGTACTTTGTACCAGGGCCTACATCATCGATATTGAGTATGAGTTTGTGTACATGTATTTTTGTTTTGTACTTTGTACACTGTTCCAGGGCCTAGATCATCGATATTGAGTATGAGTTTGTGTACATGTATTTCTGTTTTGTATTTTGTACACTGTACCAGGGCCTAGATAATCGATATGGAGTATGAGTTTGTGTACATGTATTTCTGTTTTGTACTTTGTACCAGGGCCTAGATCATCGATATGGAGTATGAGTTTGTGTACATGTATTTTTGTTTTGTATTATGTACACTGTACCAGGGCCTAGATCATCGATATGGAGTATGAGTTTGTGTACATGTATTTCTGTTTTGTACTTTGTACCAGGGACTAGATCATCGATATTGAGTATGAGTTTGTGTACATGTATTTTTGTTTTGTACTTTGTACCAGGGCCTAGATCATCGATATTGAGTATGAGTTTTTGGTTACAGTTTTGTTAACATTGTTTTTCAAACCCTACATTCATGTAAGTCTACGTACAAGTAAATAATAAGGTATCCGCAAGAATGAGTACAGAATGACAAATCGCAGCACAAAGTGGTGCTTTTTTCACAGTACAAATCAAAACTACCATCATCAATCGACAAAGGATATACAATGTTACATATCCTGATCTGACATAGGTAGCCTACCAAAGACCTGTACAACTTATAATATATTCCTTTAACATTAGGGTTTCTTAATATTGTAGTTAGCTGATATAGAAAAGATTCCAGCAAATAACCAATGAGATTTCATTTTCCATCATTTCTAAATATTTCTTCACAATACATATTTTAAACCTTAGTAAATTAATACTTTCCTGTATGTGTCCGATTACCCTTCCGTTCTAATAATTATGCTGTTTGCGATGGCTTTTTTGTTTTGTTTTTGTTTGTTTTAACTGTTCCTTTAAAGATTTTTTTTCATTCGCATGTTCAGTCTTCAAATTGTCCGGGAAGGGAAAGTTTTGTCCAATGTATTAGAAAAACAAAACAAAACAGGAACGAAACATTGTGTCATATATTACTGGGAAAAACTTGATGTTATTTGAACCATTAGCTTATAAGAGGACTATTCATCTTCAATTTAAATCAATAGGTTAACATTGATTGGTGAAGTGAGCAAAAGAATCACAAAAAAACTTAATAGCCCCTATTATCATGTGTAATGTTAAAGTGTTTGTATACATTATACATCATTTAATACAGGCTGACAACGAATTGAATTCAGTCATTCCTCTTCGGAGACATGAGTACGATATCTTACATAAGATGGGATTGATTTTTGATAAAATGGATTTTTCACAAACACAGATTATAAATAGTCATTATCTAATCGTGGATTTTCACATGTTCGCGCTCAATTAATTTAATTTCCTTGTCAAGTAAAGAAACTGTAGTCCACATGCCTGACTTCGATAACATGTTCGCTCATTTCCTTGTGAAGGAAATAATCCATATAAATAGCGTACATACCGTAAAAACATGAAATATCTATTGTTATAATGTAAAGGCATAATTACCATGGACGGTTTAGTGTTATGGTTAAACCTGATCAATATGCAACGCTTATTTTCTCTATGTAGAATAATATCACCTTAAATATTTATTAGAAAATATGAAAATTACCTAAGATTATCACTTTAGAAATGAAAGCAAAGAAATATAACGTTTGATACTTATGTAACGTGATTGGTGGGTGGAGTCATATCGTAAAAAGTGCACCACAAAAGGAATTATTTGTGAAAAAGTTCTGTATTTGGTGAAGCCTCGAAATGTTGGATGAAAGTTCCTATATGGAAATTTTGCATATATAAAAAGAAAATTTGTACTTGGTATTGTAAATGTACTTATTAAAGACGAAGTTATATTATGTGTATCAGATTATAGATTGTAACAAGCCTTCCATTTGTCGTTACAAGCGATGTCTATACGGGCCGTTGATATTACCTAATGTACCACTCGAGTGTCAATATCCACTCCGTATCTAGACGCGTCTTTACGTTGATGCATACATGTAGATATGACCTAGTTGCTAATTTTAAAAAAACTGTGGTGTAAACTTCCGGAAGACGAACGTGGTTCTGGATCTTCCCGATAATGTGTAATTTCTATTTCATAATCTTCCTCTTAGATAAACTATTGTACCCATTGAGTATGTGATAGTTGGGAACTCCTCGCCTTAGATAAACTAAGATACCTAGTTAGATTGGTATTGAGATATTATCCCTTCTGTATAATTTTGAACTTTCAAATTTAAAATAACCCTGACGAGAGAATAGTTGTGGGGTGATGATGGTTGTGGTTGTGTTGGTGAGGTAGTTTCGGTGTTGTGCTGGTGTTGTTGCTGGTAGTAGTAGTGCAAGTATTATTGGTGGAGTATTACTGTAAAAGCATAAATTTTCGTGGGACATTAGGTTTCGTTTATTTCGTGGATAACACAAATCCATGAAATTAAATCCCAACGAAAACATAAATTTCGTATGATATCAAAAAGGAGAAAATCAAAAATAAGTGAAATATAATGTCCTTGAAACAGGCAAGTACATGTATAAGAAAACCACGAAATTTTAACCCCATGAAAATAAATGATTCTACAGTAGTATTAGTAGAGATAATGGCGGTACTGTTATTAATAGATATTTTGGCACTGACATTTATGTTAGTATCAGTTTTAATTTGTTGCTGGAAGCTGCTGCTCCAAAAGCAATGAAACTATAATACAATAACAGTAATACATATCTAACAGTTCAAATAATATATATATCTAAAGTCATCCTCGATATCCTGGGGTTACGCTCACTTTTGCTCTCTACACCCCTGGAATATGTCATAGCAAAATCGAAGGCACGAAGATAGCTGTTTGATTGGCCTCAGGTAAAAGAACACCTGACCAATCACTATGCTGATACATGTCCTTTGAAGATTACATAGGAGCGACACCCGACTTCAAAGCCTGTCAATTTTTACCGTTACGTTGTCGCACGATTCTTTTGGTGTACATCAAAGGATCGAACCAGTCTCATCAACAAGGTGGCGCACACCGTGCCTTCAATTTTGCTATGACATGTTCCAGGGGTGAAGAGAGCTTAAATGAGCGTAACCCCTGGATATCGAGCATGATCTAAAATATAACAACATAACATATCATATTTAACTAAAATTAGTAATATAATGTAACAGTTACTGTTCATTCTTCGAATCCAAATAATTTGAACGTTATTTTAGACAAGTATGACAAAAAAAAGTGTCTGCAAACATTCAGATGAATATGGATAGAAAGAGTGGGCGATCCGTGCAGAATGGAGAGATTTGTTTGCTATCACGATATTCCATTATATTGTACGTTAAAAAAGAATGACCATTACACGAACACTCCAAACTGAAGAGCTTGCATGACCTAATGGTTCCGCCTCTTGTAACTGTTTAAACCATGTATGACTAGTACAGATCGAACAGTTAAATTTAGAAACAAACACAGACATTCGACCCTTATAAGTAAAACTTCCTTATATTTGTAATTGAAGCAAGCACATGACATATGTTTAAAATATCAACAAGGAAATATTTGTACAGTAAGTGGAATTTTGACGGATAGTTAAATGTGTATATATTTATAATTGTTTGTAGAATACATTCAGTCTAGGATCGTTACTGCCCCCTCCGACACCATACGTCGTGGTTGGTAAGTAAAGTACTATGTATCTATTACAAAATTGTAAAGACCCAATCACATTTGCTTGTTTTATGTTCATCTTTTAGATACAGGTTGGTACATGTGGAGTTTAGATCCGCCGGAGGATTTCTTAGTCACCGAGAGTTCCCCCCAAACTTAACGGCCACGCCTATCTCTTTAGAGTAGTGGTTCATAATATACACACTCTACTCATTATTAATGTGAAATTAAACACTACTCCTCCAACACTTGAAAGTCATAAATGATTGTACTTATACAGTTTTGTAATATATACAGTAAGTCAAAAAATGACTAACACTGCACTATGCAGACTTTTCGTCCTTTTAAGACTTGTTTGATGATGATAGGGGCCATAATGTGAATAGAAAGGAGAGATGCATAACACCCAACGTTTGATGAATTTCAAAATGTAAAGGAGTGAAGGTTGAATTCAAATTAATAATTAGTATAGCGCGTTTATTATGAACTGTGCAATTTCTTAAGTGTGCTCCCAGAATATTATTCTCTTTGAATAACATGTTGTTCTTTACAATATATTTTGTAGAAAAATATATCCTTTTTTCACTTTATCATAAAATCTAATATACATGTAACATTTCTGACATGTGTAACTAAAGAACTTCCTTAGTTCAAAGTTGGATAATTAATTCATTCATTAAAAACAGATATTGATTTTACTAACGTGTTGGGGGAAAACCAAGGAGGACGTGTTTCCGTAAAGGTTCATAGGTAGAATAATCTGCATGGCAATCGCGCAATCCTGAGTGAGGCATTCATATAGTTCCTTTAGGACAGTGTCCATATTAAGGGCGTGTTTTGTAATATTAGACCATAGCAAACAAAATGGATTTTATTTCCTGTTACATGTCTGAAAATAGGGGATGTAGGTAAGACATTCAACTTTTTCATTTTATAAGGTACATATAGGAGAATCATCTTGACTTGAACAGTGCTTCCTTTAAAATTGCCAAAAAATAGGGTACCCCCCAACTTTTGGATAAAAAAAGATTATATTGTTATAAAAATTACATTAATATTTAAATAATGAGTTTACAAAATCATAAAATAAGATATTTTATCAACCGTCATATCATCCTTAATACTCCAGGAGTTACCCTCACTTTCGCTCTCTACACACTGGAATTTGTCATAGCAAAAATAAAGGCTTAGTGTGCCCTACCTTGTTGATGAGATAAAAAGACTAGTTCGATCCTTTAATGAACATCAAAAGAACTTCGCGGTCACGTAACGGTAAACATTGACAGTCTTTAAAGTCGGGTGTTGCTCCTTTGTAACCTATCAGCCTAGTGATTGGTCAGGTGTTTTTTTTTTTACCTGAGACCAATCAAACAGCTACCTTCGTGCCTTCAATTTTGCTATGACATATTTAAGGAGTGCAAAGAGGGTAAGAGAGCGTAACCCCTTGAGTGTCGATGATGCTGTCACATCGGCTTCACAATCACTATAAAACAAATACATTTTTTTTTCATTTTTTTTTTTTATTAGCAATATCAATATCTTATATTATATCTTATAACTTAGGCGGGTACAAACACAGGTAAATACAGGTTAATACTGCCAAAATTATCCAGAAACAGATTATAATCCTTTTAAGAACATCCTTCTTCCCATGCTCTTTTAAAAAAATGGGAGAATCGAGAACTACCCTTTGGATTTTACCATGTAGCCGCGAAACGTATATTAAATTCTCATGACGTTTGAAGATTGCTATGTAAATGCGAAATAAATATCCCATCTGCATTCTAAATTTAACTGGCTAATTAAACATCAAACATATTAAACTTTCACCTTTGTCTGTATATTTGATTATGTTGGTACCCCTTCTTATACCCCTACGATACGTTCTAGAGACACGATAGTGACCAACCTTGTACTGGAAATATCTTGTGTGAACAATGTACTTCCCCCTGTATTATATCCTTAAATTGTAAAACAATCGGTATAGAAATCGGTTTATTTCATAATCTTCCGCTTTAAAGCTACCTTACAGTGTAAGAGTGGGGAATCCAACCGGCCTAGCTGTATGTCTTCGTGGAAGACCAGTGCGCTATTCACTGCGCCACCCAAACACCACTATTCTTTTACATACAATAATGAAACAAATGCGGATTTTGAACAATTTCATAAAACCCTGAATATTTATTACATGTTTTATCTAAACCAACAGTATTAGTCGTTTCTGTCTAAAAGTGATACAAATGTAAGTGGCGTATGCTGTCTCACATTTCTATCAAGATAAAATACACAGCTGATGCTCAATGTTGTGGCCTACACTGTTGGCGCAAGGCACAAGAAACACATACCATCACTAAACTTTTTTCTTTTTTAAATTCATTTCCCCCTCTTTCATTCGACTCATTTTGATGGATTAATTCATGCAGATTTGAATTGGTTCCAAGTGAACGTGAAGTAATACCGTTTCCTAATTACAATGTATCAGCTAGCTGGCTTATGAATATATTTCGATGGGCAGATACTTTTTGTAATGCTAACCACCATTATCGTTATAATTATAAAGATGAAAATTGCTTTACTTATCTGCAGTCTTATCGAAGATTTTGTCCCATATGGTTAAGATCTAAATAGAGGTAGCTTGGCACAGCAAAGTTTAATCTGATAGCCTCGAGCTTTCACTTAGGGTGATACTTGCTTTAATTCAAAATAGAATTATGGGGGAAACGCAAATAAAAGGATTAACTTTTTCCGGCTGAGATGTGTAGGATACCTTAAAAGTTGTATAGAAGCATCAAGTCTCTGAAGTGTTCAACTGCATTCTGTAAAGAGTGATAATCCTTTATTTCAGAACAAATCGAGTAACTCACATACACAGGCTGTAATTAACTGCATGTATGTATCTATAAGACTATAGCACAAATATATAATTTTATGCTAAATAGCTGATATGTATATTATTCATAGATTATGACAATTTTTGACTTACCATTTCTTAATTGTCACTCAATCTTGAGGAAGATTTTTGAGTAGACGGAATAAGCCCGTATTTTATATTAGTCAGTGCCGTGCAATCGCCGCTTTATCAAAAATAGGAAACGGATTAACATAAGTATTTTGTACTCGCTTTCGAATCATATATGTATAGCATGTTTGTATTACTGGAGCATTATACCAACAATACAATAAAGTTTCACTAAACTTAGTCTGTAACGGCAGTTACTTCCAAAATTTTTGAATATTACCTCAAAATAGAAATTATGTTATATCATCACACTAGAGTTATGAGCTATTTACTTATAACTTATTTTTTTGTACAATAGATTGAAATATTAGCAATGTAGAGTAAATATAAAAATATATATATACTAGCGGAAAAAAGAAACTGTGCATGAGAGAATTGTTATAGAACATGTATTACCAACTGTATATACATGAAAATTCACATACATGACCGAGTATGACACATACACACTATCCGTGTGTCACTGACAATTTTTCCCGTGCAGTTTGCTCTCTATAGGCGTTGACCAGTTTGCACGTTTTTCTCGTCCAGCCATCAAATTCGACAATGAAAGTTTATTTTTCAACTGTTGGGTCACTCTGTTGAGACCAGGGAACAGTAATAACAGCATTAACACGTTTTAATTTGTGATTAATGCTATGCCGAGGCTCAATGAAAATGACCGCCTCCGGTATGGGCCAAGCCGTTGTCTCTACACGTGATCATGTCCATTGAAACACAATCCGGGATTTGTGGAGACGACATCAACAGTTTGGCCACGCCGGCGATAGACCTCGTGCGGGACGTCAACGTGTGACGTCACGTCAACAGGACAACCATATTCGGCTTGTCCATTTAATAAATCGCTTCCAAACGGCAAGTTTGACTGCACGGACAATCCCTGGGTTGCTACCAATAAGCCCGAAAACTGTACGGAACCGATTGCATGAACAAGCTATCCGTCCGCGACGTCCTGCAATCCGCCCAGTTCTTCTGCCACGTCATCGTGTAGCACGTCTGGACTGGTGCAGAAGTCATCTGCGATTTACACGACGGGATTAGGCAGGCATTTTGTTTACGGACGAGTCGCGAGTCCAATTGGATAGTAGTGACGGCCGTTCCAGAGTGTATCGTCGCGTTGGAGAACGTTTCCTTGACGCGTGTGTGGTACAACGACGTTCTTTCTGCAGAGGCAGCGTTATGATTTGGGGCAGCATCACAGCCAACGGGAGAACGCCTCTGGTGGTTGTTAACGGGAATTTGAACGCGCTACGTTACCGTGACGAGATCCCCCGGACCCACGTCGTTCCATTCGTGCAAGGGCAGCAACGTCACATTACGCTACAGCAGGACAACGCCACCACACACAGCTCGTGTCGCTATGGACTTTCTGGTCAGCAGAACGTTGACGTGTTGCCCTGGCCTGCTGTATTCCCCGATCTGTCGCCCATTGAACACGTCTGGGATGAAATGAAGCGCATATTACAGGCATTACCTAATCAACCGGTGACGTTGGCTGATTTGGCTGCAGCTTTGGTACCGATCTGGAATGCCTTCCCACAAGTATTCTTGAACCGTCTGATAGGCTCCATGCGTCGACGTTGCCAGGCTTGCATTCAGGCAAACGGTGGGCATACGAGGTATTAACTTTGTGAACTCAGTATTGACCCCTGCTGTGTTTCGTCACTCCTGAGCAGAACTGATTGATTCCATAACGTGGAAAATGGAATGCAACTGTTAATAAAAAAAAACAAATAGATTGTCCCTGAAAACCTTGTTGTTCTACGTCATACACATTTATTTTTTATTACACATTTTAGGCATGCACAGGTTTTTTTTCCGCTAAACATATATTTATTGTATATAAATATATTTAAAATTGAAATACCCGAATAAAAGTAAGTTTAAACTAAATAATACATAAAACACCTACTGGAAACACGCCTAGCACCTACACTTGTACACAGAACGCGATCCTAACATTTAGGGTAACATAAATTGATAATTTTATCTTGTAATAAACTTACATTGTTTTCCTTGAATTTGTTACAGGTTGTCTGCCGTAGTACTTAAACTAAAATGGGTAAGTGTTATTTGCGGAAACCAATTCTTCATCATGGACGATAGTTAAGTGGAATGGAAATGACTAATATTTTCTTGAAACACCCTCACACACATGATATACACGGAACAGGAAGCTAAAGATAGGTAATGATATATGTATTGGTACTTTCCAAGGTTACACCAATTACAGATTTTTTTCACAAATAATTTCTTTTGTGGTGCACTTTTTATGAAATGACTCCACCCACCAATCACGTTACATTCATATCAAATGGGTACTGTTTGGGTAAGAAGATCACTTTCTGAACTGGATATATATATGAGATATCGAAAAGTTCGTTTTCAGATTGGACAGATGCTATATTTTTTTTAGTCGGGACCACTGTTCTGTTTCATTGATTAAAGTCATCTGAACTATTTATCAGTGCTAAGGAATAACCAGGATTTAAGGGGGTGTTAAGCAGGAAAAGGTACATGGATATAACTTGCACATTGTTAATGGTGTTTGTCTATAGCTTATAATACCCAAAAACCCTTTTTTTAAATTACTAATAATTAAATTTTAAAATACCGATAACACTTTTTATTTTCATTTTTAATAAACATCAATCCCTAAAGATTAATATTGAAACGCGATATGTAAAAGTGAAAATAAATATCGTTATATGACGTCATCTGTTTTGGTGTTGAGTATATTTGGTATTGTCTAAAACGTCAATCATAGGGACTAGCCAAATTGAAAATAAGATATATGTAAATACAATGTAACAGTTGATGCCTTTGAGATGTTGATTATTTTATAATTAAGTTATTCTCTTTATGTAGGTAACTGAAACGATTGACAATTAGATATATTTTCTTTTTTTCTTCCCACGCTTACACTGTATACCTCGTGCATATTACTCACAGAATGTAGGACAGGCGCCCACGAAACAGTGACGTCAAGGATTTTGTAAAGAAATATGTCCTGGTTAGAGCGTTGTAATTATTCATTGTAAGCTATCGACACTTTTATCAAAATTCTGTTTGTTATTAACTTGATCTTCATTCTTAAACTGAAACTGAATGTACTTGATAAAAACTTACCATCTGGCTCTTATTCTTTTCCGTTCTTGTTTATCACAATGGCGTGGTAAAGTCTACACACTTGACTTTTGTATTGAATGATTAACAGTTGGCAATTGTAATAGAATTTCTAAATTTAAAAAGTATTCTTTAATTACACGTAGTATACTTATTTTTCCACAGTGAAAATGGCAGCTGGCCGATTGGTTATTCCCTGTTTATTCTTAAAAAAAAATGTAAAAATAAAATACAGTGATATTAACCTGTAGACAACACATGGGAAATAGTTCTTATTTGTTATTTTATATATGATGTCTCGAATAAGAGTCATTCAAAATCATACAAACACGGGCAATTTTTATGAAACAAGGGAAATAACTATATACGTTATCTCGAATAAGAATCATTCATAATAATACTCAAAACATATGATTATACATTGACAGTGGCGGATCCAGAGGGGTTTTATGGCTTAATTAGCAATGTGTCTTACTTATTACATATGTTGCTGATAACATGTCTTACTTATTACCTATGTTACTGATAACAAGTCTCAATAGTTACATATCTGATTGATAAAATGTCTCACTAGTTACATATCTGATTTACAACTTGTCTCACTAATAACTTATCTAATTGACAACATGTCTCACTAATAACATATCTGGTTGACAACATATCTCACTAGTAACATATCTGGTTGACAAAATATATTACTAACTACATATCTGATGGGCAACATGTCTCACTAATAACAAATATTATTGACAACGTGACTCGCTATTTACATATCTGATTAGCAAAATGTCTCACTTATTACATATCTGATTAGTAACGTGTCTCACTAATTACATATCTGATGGGCAAAATGTCTCACTAATAACAAATATTATTGACAACGTGTCTCACTAATTACATATCGGATTAGCAACATGTCTCACTTATTACATACCTTTTGACAACGTGTATCACTTATTACATATCTGATGGGAAACATGTCTCACTAATTACATATCTGATTGACAACATATCTCACTAATTACATTGCTGATGGGCAACATGTCTCACTTATTATATATCTGATTAGTCATGTGCCTCACTAATTACATATCTGATTAGCAACATGTCTCACTTATTACATATCTGATTAGTAACGTGTCTCACTAATTACATATCTGATGGGCAACATGTCTCACTAATAACAAATATTATTGACAACGTACTCACTAATTACATATCGGATTAGCAACATGTCTCACTTATTACTTACCTTTTGACAACGTGTCTCACTAATTACATATCTGATGGGCAACATGTCTCAGTGATTACATATCTGATTGACAACATATCTCACTAATTACATATCGGATGGGCAACATGACTCACTAATTACATATCTGATTGACAACATATATCACTAACTACATATCTGATGGGCAACATGTCTCACTAATAACAAATATTATTGACAACGTACTCACTAATTACATATCGGATTAGCAACATGTCTCACTTATTACTTACCTTTTGACAACGTGTCTCACTAATTACATATCTGATGGGCAACATGTCTCAGTGATTACATATCTGATTGACAACATATCTCACTAATTACATATCTGATGGGCAACATGTCTCACTTATTATATATCTGATTAGTCATATGTCTCACTAATTACATATCTGATTAGCAACATGTCTCACTTATTACATATCTGATTAGTAACGTGTCTCACTAATTACATATATGATGGGCAACATGTCTCACTAATAACAAATATTATTGACAACGTACTCACTAATTACATATCGGATTAGCAACATGTATCACTTATTACATACCTTTTGACAACGTGTCTCAATAATTACATATCTGATGGGCAACATGTCTCACTGATTACATATATGATTGACAACATATCTCACTAATTACATATCGGATGGGCAACATGCCTCATTAATTACATATCTGATTGACAACATATCTCACTAATTACATATCTGATGGGCAACATGTCTCACTTATATATCTGATTAGTCATGTGTCTCACTAATTACATATCTGATTAGCAACATGTCTCACTAATTACATATCTGATTGACAACATATATCACTAACTACATATCTGATGGGCAACATGTCTCACTAATAACAAATATTATTAACAACATATCTCACTAATTACATTGCTGATGGGCAACATGTCTCACTTATTATATATCTGATTAGTACTTTGTCTCACTAATTACATATCTGATTAGCAACATGTCTCACTTATTACATATATGATTAGTAACGTGTCTCACTAATTACATATCTGATGGGCAACATGTCTAACTAATAACAAATATTATTGACAACGTGTCTCACTAATTACATATCTGATTAGCAAAATGTCTCACTTATTACATATCTATTGACAACATGTCTCACTAATTATATATCTGATCGACAACATATCTCACTACTTACATATCTGGTGACAACTTGTCTTACTCATTATATATCTGTTGACAACATGTCTTACCAATTATATATCTGGTTGACAACGTTTGTCATTGACGATTATTTCTGAGAACATATCGAACAACTTATCTAATTGACAAACAATTTGGCGGACACAATGCATATCTATTTTTTGTGTACTGTTACAAACAAATGGTATAATTTCTCGAGATATTACGGCTTTTTAACCATTTGAACACATGTATTGTTTCATTGTTTAATATTCAATAAAAAAAAACACATTTATGGACGGTTGACTATATAACATACCATGTTAAGCAAACAATTCTTTTGGTAACTTGTTAGCTTTGATTTGTTTTTCAGCTGAGTGTAACACTACATGGGCCTGTCAGAAGTGTAGCTTTGAGAACACGTCCTCTGCTAAGTGCTGTGAAGTATGTGACACAGACGCCGACATAGAGGTGGACATAGAACCAAGTGATGATCCCACTAAAGATAATGGATTCTCGGGTAGGTAATGAAATGACAGATCATGAGATAATCGCCACACCATGACAATATTATCCATATTAGATCACCATTTGAACTTTTGATGTTGTTTAATTGATGAAATTGGGGATACTAAACATTTGAAGTTGATTATTTCTCTTATTCGAATACATTTTTAATTCTTAAAAACGTTCGTTTTTGAAAAAGAGAATACAGATACATCGTAATGTTATGAAGGGAAAATTAAATTTCGTTTTTTTGTGTTACTGACTAGAAATCTCGAAATTTTGATTTTTTTTCTCTACCATAAATTCAGTGTCGTGTTTGCAGATATTGTCTGTCACCCAATGTAAGGCATCATAAATACAAACATCAAAATATAAGTAATAAACGTTAATGCTGTGTATTAAGCAGTATACATAACCCGATAAATATTGGGATTATATTTTGTATTGCCAAAGAAAATATTTGCATGTGTTACGTGTCTTGAGTATGTTTAATGTTTATGGTCATCAAATCAATAATCTTGACCTTTAACCCGACAATTACAGTCATCAACTTTTTTGAATGTTAATCTGTAAATGGGTTACTATAGATCTCGTGACACTGTATTTGTGGTATGGTACAAGTATTTTACTACTTTTTCATTGCAGTGCCACTTTGTATTTAAAACATGACTATATAGTACCATTCGAGACTGCTTTCCCTAGTTACGTTGTTAAGTAACAATTTTTAAATAAAAATGAGTATAAAAAGTATTTTGTATAGATATTTTTATAGATAATAGATAATTTTCAATTTTGTATTTGTTAGACTGTTTTATAACAAATATCACGATCCCCGACCCTTAAAAATCATGTCAACAACGTACGCACGGATTGTGTATGTCACCGCTGATTTGCCTTTGCAGATCTTCTTCCTAGTATCATTATTGTGGGGGTGGGGATAGGGGCGGGGTTAGACAAATGTGCTCGCTGATCCGGAAGTAAAACTTTAAATTTGGTGATGGTGGTGTTATTGTTTAAGTATGTATTAAATAACAGGAAGATTTATTTGATAATTAATACACAAAACGATGATTGAAAAGTGTCAATGTTCTTGGTTTTCTAGAGCACTATGGCGTGCGTACACTGCGGAAAACTTCTTAGGTACAAATGATACGCCAATGACTAGTTCTGCCCAAAATAATCCTATACTACTTCAGTAATAAGGTGGGAAACACTGATGATTACATACTTTGAAATATGAAAGAAAAAAGAAAACAAGGTCGGAAAAACTATATATCAAAATATTTTGTAAACTTCTGTTCCCCCTTGCAGTGTGGAGGTGCAGGAACTGTACGTATGACAACAACGTTACAATTAGTCGGTGCGAGATGTGCTCCCTCCCGAAAAATGACAAACCTGACAACCCTCAACCCATAGGCAGGGAGAATGCTCTAGGTAAAATTGGAACATTGACATTAAAACAAACATGAGCAGTAGGTCTATGTTGTAAATCACTTTGTTTATCATTGAAGCAGAGTAATACCGTACTCCCCCGAATAATAGGTCCGGAATAATAAGACACAAAAAAATCTAAACCTTTTTTTGCATTTTTATTGATATTTTTCAGACATTCAAATCGCCTTTTCAGTTTCAATATTTATAATTAACCAAACGTATTTGGAGTATATTGGCGATAGGAACCGAGGAGTTAGGTCCCCTTACATATTGTGCTCTGAACATAGAAGCCTTCCTATTATTACTCAATACTTAATAACCTTATATTTCACATAATATTGTCGTCGTCTTCAGGCATTGAACTCCTTGTTATTTCCGTACATCTCACTAGACAAATGCTAATAATAAATCAATGATGTGATATTATGCTTTCAATAACTAAATTCATTTACAATGCATTCAATATACATCATCAAAATTCTCTCCTACAGAAAACGAAACAAGGATCATCCTGATTGGTCGTACAGGTTCTGGGAAAAGTTCCACTGGTAATAACATCCTTGGAGAACAAGTTTTTGAGTCTCAAGCTTCGTGTGGCTCTGTAACGACTCATTGTCTGCGTGGAAAAAAAAGGCGCTTCAACAAACTTATCCAGATAGTAGATACTCCAGGACTGTTTGATACAGGTATGGTAACTTTTGTATTTATATTAAGGTCTTAATTCCACCTGTTTGTTTTTTGAGTTTCTGTTAATGTTCCTTGTTTTCCGTCACTTCCGTTTATTGTTGTTGGGTATTTGATGTCTATTGAGTTTCTGTTGATTATCTTTGTCTTTCGTCACTTTCGGGGTTTTGTGGGTATTTGATGTGTTTTGAGTATCTGTTGATGTTCGCTGTCTTTCCTCACTCTCGGGGTTTTCTGGGTATTTGATGTCTTTTTAGTTTCTGTTGATGTTTGTTGTCTTCTGTCGCTTCCGGGGTTTGTGGGTAATTGATATCTTTTGAGTGTCTGTTGATGTTTCTGTTTTTTCATCTCTTCCGGGGTTTTGTTAGGATTGGATGTCGTCTTAGTTCACGTTGTTTTATAATGTCTTTCATCACTTTTGAATTTTGTGAGCATTTAATGTCTTTTGAAATTCAGTTTTGTCTCTTCTTATACACTTTCTTTTGTGTTGTGTTGAATTGAGAAAGTTCGACCCATTAAATTAACATTTGTAATGATGTTGATAAGGGTTTCTGTATAGAAAAGTATAGCATAGCAATTATATAATAATGATAATAATAATTCGAGGTTTTTATATACCGCTTTATCACAACCTAGTTCGCAGGTCGTCTCAAAGCGGTTCACAAATTATTATCCGTGGTTAATAGTCTTTGCAACCAGCCAATGACTTTCTCAACTCCCTGGGGAGCAACAGCCGGAGCTGCCATTTCGGCGCTTACAGCTAGCATTACAACATTCTAGCACTGCCTAACCACGTACTCATTTACAGCTGAGTAACCTGGAACAAGCGGAGTAAAGGATGTTGTTCAAAGTAAAAACACAGTGCCGTGCCGTTACTCGAACCTGCAACCCTTCGGTCCCGAACAGTGTCCTACCACTAAGCTACCGTGCCTCTAAAATAAAAAAATTACTCTCATATACTATTTTTGTTTGTAATCTACTAATGAATAAGGCTTTTTTGAAATACAAAGGACATTTAATAATCGTATGCATTAATCCTTTTTTTTTTTGAATTTCCTTTTTTAATAAAACAAGTTCGGAAAGAGAATGAATAATGATGAAAGTGTCAAAGATATAGAAATGTGTCCGCTGGTGTTTATTAGTGACTGGCCCATGTCAGTGTCATTTACCTACATGTACGTTAATATATACATATATATATATATATATATATATATATATATGTTTTGATATATGTTTAACATGTTTACATTATGTTTCTACAGGGATGGATAATGACACAGTGACAGAGGAGATATTGAAGTGTGTAGGAATAACAGCCCCGGGGCCTCATGCTATCCTCCTCGTGGTCGGTATCAATCGCTTCACAGAGGAAGAACATGAAACTGTCAGACTCCTCAAGAAGGCTTTTGGAGACAACATGATGAAGTACCTCATCGTTGTTTTCACTCGGAAAGATGATCTGAACAGAGACGGGCGGGATCTTGATGATCTAGTAAGAACAGCTCCGCAAACTTTGCAAAGAGTTTTAAGGAACTGTCAAAACCGATGCATCGCTTTCAATAACCATGCAGATGAAGTAGAGAATGAGCAACAAGTTCTGGAACTCTTCCGATTGATTGACGAAATGGTTGCTGCTAACCATGGCGATTTCTACACAAGTCAAATATTTGAAAGGGCAGAGGAAGCTATCATGGATAGGGAGAACGAGATTGTGACTGATCGCAGAAATGAAGCAGAGAAAAGGATGGAAATAATAAGAAGCCGAGTATCGGAAGAATGCCGCGAGAAGATGGATGCTGCTAAAAGGAGTGGGGAGCGCTATACGAGAGAACTAGACGGGATTCGTAGGCAGAGGGAAAAGCTATCGCATACCTTAAACTGGAAAGAAGGTAATCGAAACGGGCTTGACGATAGTGACGGAGATAGTGATGCTATGCTTCGTTCGAAAATTGAGGAGCTAGAACACAAAATTCGAGCCGTTCATAAGCAACAAAAGGTTATAAAGGAATCAACGGAGATGACGCTTCGAGAGAGAGAAAAAGAAGTTATGAACATCCTGAAAGAACTATCAGCTCCTGAAGTTGTCAGAGAAAATGTCCGCGACGAAGTTCAAGGAGGAAGTCCTACTCTCATGCGCAGGATTTGGTTGAGGGTAACGGAGTTTGGTCATCAGATAGTTGGTGGTTTCAAAAGTATTTTTGATTTCATCAGGAAGAAAGTCACAGGAAAGTGAATCAAATAAAATCATCAAACTTACTTTCATACGATTCTAGGGCCACACAAGATAAATTTGATTCATTAGAGTCGATTTTATGCACATGTGAGAACACCATGAATAGAGCAGTTACAGTGTAGCTTTAGTAAGACTTTGCTAACATTGAAGGTGCAAACGTATCATTGCTACTTAAACCAAATTACTAGATATGTAAGCGTATTTGAATGTTAATGAAAATTAATAATAGCTTACTGCATTTAAACAACTCTCATGAAATGTGTCAGTAGTAATATGTCAAGTGTATTTCTGAGGTAAACTGAACATTATTTTATGCAATGTTCTGGTATTTCTTATATATTTGCAGTATTCTTTGTCAGGATTTTATGTTTTTGTGCAATTGTCTTCATAATTTAAAATAAAAACAAATATTAATTCAAATCTAAAGCTTTTGTAGTTGTTCCTCCAAACTTGTTTTTTCATTAGATATTCGGAGGGATTGTTTCCGAAATCTTTATATAAAAGAAACTTCAATAAGTAACTGATGTAAATTGGATTAAAATACATTGGAACTCATGTATGCAGAACCTCACAATCGGACACTATCCCTTCCGAAAACTGGAATGATTTTGCTGGTTTACAGACAATTATTAGAAAACTTATTACACATAGGAACAATAGTGATCAATGCACTTATAAGAAACGATATTTCCTTAAATAATATGTTTACATATACATGAACGGCGTTAAACGAATTTTATTTTTATTTATAGACCGACTATTACTTTCTCACAATTGCCGAGGACATTTAATTTGCATTAACTTACAACTTGAAATATCACATCACCAACCCACACGGAATACAAGGCAGAACGACAGACATAGGAACCAGGTTCACATCAGAAAAAAAGGAAGAATCAAAAGCCTTCATAGCAAACAGGAGTGAGAACGAGATGTTCCGGTTCTTGTTCCACATGTGGCACCCGTCATCATGTTTCTTTACAACGAAAGGATTGAATCTTGCTTTTGGGGACTTCATAGGCTGTTAATCTTATTTGGTCTTGGGACTAATTAAATAAACTGCGAAGCAAATCATGTTGAATTAGTCCCATTATATCGACAAAAACAATTTACAAACTTTATGCCTCAATTAAAATCAATGTACCCGTTTGTTATACCTGACGCCGGAGTTTACTAGAGTATCTTTAGGCGCTTTGTACTGAAGCTTGTGCAAGGTTACGTAAAAATAAAGTTTAATACAGCATTTTGTAGACTTAAAACCTCACAACTTTTCAAGTTGTGAACATTTCATTATTTCTATAATTAAGACATTATTTAGCAATTTGGTTTAAGCTGTTTTTATTTAAGCAATAAAACACATGACATGAATAGTACACATCACATTAGCAAACATGACGAGGAAACAAGTACTGTGTACATTGTATTTATATAAATCCTTCCCATCTTTCTAAATGACAAGTGGCCTTATAAATGACCAATATTTGATAATACATGTACTATCGGTATATGCAAACAAATGAAGTAAAAGAAACTATGGGGTGAAGGACATGTTACAAAAGATACATTGATATTCCATGAAATAGTAAATCATCATCGAGAAATTTTCACAGTTCCATGTAATCAACATATTAATACTTGTATTACATAACGAAAATACATAGACTGGACAATAGAGTATTTCTGTATTTTTGGTAATTTCATTGATTCGAAATTATAATCAACATAACACAAAACAATATGGTAAAGGGAACCATATAACATAAAATACAAATTTAAATAATGTTTTTGTTTTAACAAAGCATATTTACAATTACTGATTTGCGAATAAATCTGTATGATAAGTGGAATATGTCATTTTATTGCTTTTGGCATCAAAATATGTATTATACAAATACTCCATCGACATTCTCTTTCCAAAAAGAAATGGTTTATAGTAAAATCTCAATAAAAAAGGCTTATTCTAATGTAAATCGTGCAAGACTCTAACAAAATACGATATTGTAAAATTCTACAGGCCCCACAATTTAAATCGCAGATAACCCTTTACCTTCTAAAGGTGTACACGTACATGTATAGTTGTCGCTGTAAAAGATTAAAAAGATATATACACTGTAAGGAGTAGGCTTACTACAAGTAATGAAGTACGTAAGTAAGTAAGTGGTATGCAAACGACATCATGAAAACTAGTACGATGTTGGCACTATCTACTGCTGTGATTTTGATCGGCGTCTGCAAAGGTAGGTTTTCTGCTTGTGGTCTTTATGTTTCCATGGTCCTTATTGTTAACACAACATTGTTTATTTCAATTATAGCCTATAATCATAATACCACATTGTTTATTTCAATTATTGCATTTAATCATAATGTTGTATATTCCATATGCAGAGCAAATATGTAAATATAAAATATGTATTGCTATTTAATAAGAATTTCATAAAACAATACAAATAATTTTGTAACAAAGGCTTACTTAGCAAATACTTTATGAAAATAGAATTTAGTCCTTATTCTTAAACATTCACAAACCTAGCTTGGTATTTAACGAACATATAACACGCAGAAATATGATAAAGGTCGTAATTTATTAATAGGTACATGAAGTATGCTGCGTTATTTTGATGCTGATAAGGAACATTTAACTGTTTGAATTTGTTTGCCATATTTGATCATATTGCTGTAATTGCCTTCAACTTAAACACTTAGATTTGCTATGTACCATTTCCGTGTTTCCCTGTTTTTGCGTTCTTACAAAGGAAGGGTCGATGAAAGATTGACAAATAACATTGTTTGCAGTGTCGTTATTGCTCAACTTATCTCATTATGTATTGTTTCAAATAAAATTTATCCACTTGATATCTGTTTAAGGGGATTCATTGGCCATATTGGATCATACTGTCGTTATTGATTACGGGACATGTACCGTCAACATGGACAATATAATAACAAAACCAATAACAGTAAAATAAATTTCATACAAAAGCAGCAAAACGAGCAAAATATATAGGAGTTCAATGTTAAATGAAAAAAATGAAAACAAATCCTTATTATGTATCAAAGTAAAATATAGTACTGCTTCAGGTTTAGACTGGCTACCAGCCCCTAAGTTTTTATGAAGGATATCCTGGCTGCATTTCACTACTTGCTTATCTCCCCCTAGTTTAGAACTAAATTATTAAAGTAAAGTGTTTTTTCCAAATTATTCAGTAATCTAGAGACGGGGCCAGACTACTTCGGCTTATATGAACAAATTATAAGATATGCTTCGTGTTAGAAATGTATTTTAGAAATATAGTTTGATACGTAAGTTTATGCATACATAACTTTGTTATTCTATACACAAAAAAAAATATTATTATATATACGAATAAGTTATGATATTATGTACACATTTACCTATGTTATTTTATATATCAATAAATACACTAGTCACTATCGTGGGGAATATGTATCATTGCACAAGATCACTTTATCGTGAAGTGCGCGCTACGTACGAGTTTTCAAGCTTTAAGCTGGTGACATGAACAAAATTCTGTAAGGAACATTACTCTTAGATAACTGTACGTAAAGTTTCAACGTAGTAATGTATTGTATACTATTTTTTTTATTTACTCTTTCGTCCATGAAACCAAGTTTGCATTTTCTAGAGTCATTATGCCACTGACGCAGAATAATAAGGAATTTGAAGGTTTACATAATTTATGCAGATGAACTATTTGAATAAATTAGCAACAAACAGTGAACCTAACCCTACAGACACATCGCTTAAATGACAGTATGATCCAAAATAATAATAAGGTCCAAAAAACATTCTTTGTCTTAAACCGGGTTTTACAGACCCTTTGTTTTTACCAAACAAACGGTTCTGCCCCCCCCCCTTCATATAAGAAATCGCGGCCATTTTAAATCATTTCAAGACAAATAATGTTTTTTTCTTGTAATTTATCCTTTAATTGAACGACACCAGTTTTAGATTTAAACACAAATAACTTTTATTGCTTCTTAAAAGTCATTTTATTTCAGCAAAAAGGAAATCAAACATACAACTTAGTAATGATGTAACAAGTTCAAATACAGTGTTGTATTCGGTAAGGGCAGATCAATACGGACTGTGTATACCACTCTACCCCACCTCGAGTGTAAACCTGATGTGTCCATAGATACGTTTTATCTGTTAGGAATACACTATGTGGCCCTGACAAGGTCAATCGTAGCTCAAACACAGCCTGTGTGAGGTTAGGTACCTGTCAGTTTACTGGACAGGAAACGACATGACAACCAGCTACCTAATAGCATTATAGAAGATTACGCTGCAAATAAACAACACCCCAACCTTAGTGTTTCAATTCTGTTTTAAATCCACAAAAATCGCCGCATGAAGTCTTGCTGTTTAAAAGAGAAATTATAAAAATACGTTTATATATAATAAAAACATAATTTTTTCAGATCGTTTATATATATATATATATGGTATACCTCATACATGTACCAAGTTATTTACTCATGGCGCATGTTTCTCGAATAAGAGCGTAGTACTTTTGGCATGTAATCGAAAGTTCGGGCTATATTTATTACGACCCCTTTATATCACAAACGGTCTGAGAAAGGTATTGTTGTTGCGTTGCTGTAGTATTCAAGTGGTATGGCGGTTAAAATGCCTCGTTTGAAATACGGACCCAAAACATGCACATTTCCATACTTAATGAGGTACTGAAGGGATACAATGAAACAAGACTCATCTTAAACCGTATTTATGTTAAAAATCAGATAATCGTTATGAGAGGAGGTAGTCATAAGATTGTCAAAATGACACGTGTAATTGAAACAAGAATAGTCAAAATACGAAGCGTATGGTCCCGTCGCCATATTGGCGAGTATATCAGGATGGTAAGAACATTGACGTTTCATGTAATTTAGGTACCACTCCGTCATTTTCCTCTCCGTCCATTTCCGGGACGAGCCGGACGGTTATTAATGAGGATGTGGGGCTAGGAACGTCTGTGTACCACGTCAGCGCCCATTACTCCGTGTATCCCGTCACTTACAGTATACACATGGGGTCAGGGTTCACCCTTACAGGACAGACCATATACACATCACAAGCCTACGACTACGAATCAAAGTCTTCATATAGTCTACAGATCAGGTAACAATGATTAATTCATATTATTTCATATATCATACATGTTAATACATTAAACCTGAAAAATAGAAAAAAAAATGATGAAAATGAAATATATAATTAAACAGAAATAACATAGAACACACAATGAAATATTGAAATAGTCAACTGTTATTACACTTAGAGATAACATAATGCGAATTACAGATACCATGCAATGTAATGCCCTGAAATGCAATGCAAATCCCGTATCAACAAATATACATGGACATTCAGAGCTATAACTAAATACCATGTATTATTTTTCAGTGCAACATCAGGGGGCTACACTGCAACCGTGCCATTAACTATAGCTCTAGTGGATGTGAACGACAACACCCCGACTTTTAGTCCAGCTGTGTACACAGCCACTATACCAGAAAACTCACCCGCAGGTAAACCGTTTCAGTAACAGAGAATAAGAGTGGTTAATCAACCAGTTAAATTGTAACCTGCTTCAGTTGTATGATTGTTTTTCAATGTAGTCAAAAGTTTGTTAATTACATGTAGGCTTAAATCAAAATGTTGTGATAATGTAATGCAATACAGTTTGTTTTTCAGGAACATCTGTAAAAACACTAAATTGTCTGGATGCCGACAGTGGTTCAAATGGGATCTGTACTCTCAGGATCCAAACGGGAGATGACGTAGCACATAAATTTACCGTTTCCGGTAAAACAATTGTGACTACCAGGACAGCTATTGATTACGAGGCTCTGAAATCACGAAACCATGTGTATTCACTGGTTGTTGTCGGCGTCGATTCACCATCACCATCCGGGTACTCTGTCAGAACGGGAACGGCATATGTATACGTCACTATCACCGGCACAAATGACCACTATCCGTCAATTTCTGGAACAAGTCCGACTGCAATATCTGTAAGAATTCCTTAAATCAGTGTTTGAAACAGGAATTACTACATGAAATAAATGGTTGTGATAAGCTTCGATAGAAAGGTGATAAACAATAGTATCTATATGAATTTTAACTTTCTTTGGTTTTTGTATACCTTCGTTTAACTTCACTTTCATTGTTGAACCTAGTTATTGTAAAAACGAGCACTAATATATTTTGAAATGACATTGTCAGTACTTAATGTTACTTCTTTAATTCCCACACTGGTTGTCCAGACTATCAGCGGAATCAGTAAATACACGATATGAAACCGACATTCGCTCTGTTATGCATCAAATTTTCCCTCATTTTGAAACGCGTCCTATACAATTAGCCTTAATACGCCGTATACTCTTTGAGTGTTAGTTTTAGTACCTAATTACCCTGTAGGTGAGAGAGGACAGCCCTGTAGGGACCACTGTTGCTACTGTCCAGGCTACTGATGCTGATGATGGAGACGACGGGGTCCTCAAATACTACATCATAGGTTGGTTGAATATATTCCAAAGAGAGTTTGTCTACGAGCATATGTGTATTATGATTTTAAATATCATTCCCGGTTTACAACACGTTTAGGCACGTGAAGAGTTGACGTAATTAGTCTCGTAATAAGTGATTGGCATTGATCGAGTAGAGATATAGTACATGTATAATACGTTCATATTTCTACTAAAGAACCATGCCAGAGTGACCTGACAGAAATATTACGGGAAGATTTGTACAGGTAGAATATGAGAATATGAAGTGTAGATATAATTGGAGCTTTCAAAAACAGCTTAATTATCTATTCAGTCACTGCAACACTGCATTACTGATAATGTTCATTTACTTGCTCGATATCGAATCCGTAAAGTGACATTTAAACATTTTTCTTATAGATCTTGCGAATCTGTTCATAATTATATAATTTATAATACATATAGAGATGTCCTATGACATTTCCCTGTGCTGTTCCCTTTGTTTGTATATTGAATGTTCATTTGTGTACATATGTATAAAGGTATGTCCCTCTTTGATTTGTTATTGTTAACAAAGTGTAGAACTACAATAAATGTACATACAGGTGGGGACACCGGTGGTCGATTTGGCATGATTGCGGACGCCGGACGCATATACCTGCTGAAGACATTGGATTATGAATCTGCCAGATCCTATCCGTTGACAATTAAGGTTACTGATTCCGGGTCACCTGTTCTATCAGCCACTTCTACAGTTATAGTTTACGTGAATGACGTCAACGACAACACTCCAGTCTGTTTACCCAACATACACTTCATTTCTGTTCTGGAAACTACAGGTATACTAATTTATTGTTGAAAAACGGAACCGACATATTATTTAATATATCAATAATATAGTAACTACAGCTTTAAATCATAAAAATATACATCACACATGAAATAATGTTATTAATACTTAGTGCAATGATGATTTTAAAAAATCAATATTGCATATAAGATTTTATATTCTTTAACTGATATAATATAAAATAGGATATAAGATATAATACTGAGGAAGGTAAAGGCATGCCGGACAAACAAAAATTGAGCAGAATATAATTTAATTTAAAATGCGTTCAAATTGATTTTTCTTCGGAACCTTCTCGGCGCACCTTATTTGATACGTTTAAAATAATGCTGACATTGTTTTATAGCCCCTCCTACTACGGTGATAAATGATCTCGGATGCACAGACGGAGACCCTGGGACATCTTTGACGTACACCATGACACAAAACCCTGGTAACAAGTTTATGGCTTCCACTTTTGGGACCGCAGCAGCTCTCGTTCTCAATGGTAAATACCAATTTACCAAATTATCCCAAGTATGTTTCTTGGAAGTTCTGAAAATTCTAAATGTAAATATTTACACCGATGTTTCTCTATTTAAATCCCCCTTCCATACAATTATTGCTGATCCTAATGGAAGCCCCTAATATCTAAATATGATCGGTCGAATATATATGTACACGTATAAAGGCACGGTAGTGTAGTGGTAGGACGCCGGGCTCGTGACCGAATGGTTGCGGGTTCGAGTCACGTCACGGCACTGTGTTGTATCTATGAACAAGATACATGTATTTTACTCCACTAGTTCCAGTCTACTCAGCTGTAAATGAGTACGTGGTTGGGCTGTGCTAGAAGTGTTGATGCTAGCTGTGAGCGCCGAAATGTCAGCACCGGCTGTGTGCTCCAACGGGAGTTGATAAAGATGTTGGCTGGTCCTGTCACCACGGATAATAATTTGTGAACCGCTATGAGACGACCTACACGCTAGGTTGTGATAAAGCGGTATATACGAACCTCGAATTATTATTATTATTAAAATATAAAGTGGACAGTTTATGCAATGTAAGTTATCAGTGAGTATAAGGATAGGATTATTAGATTTTACATGTATTGACAGTGACAATAGGAAATTAGGGATCCCTGCCTCACTGCACTGATTTTTTTTCGAACGTTTGGAGCCATATCAAAGCTTGGCTGGGATGCCTTCGTTGAACGGATAGTCCAGTCGGTTAAAGAGATCCTATAACAAACTGAAGTCCAGAGTTTGAATCCTGATCGAGCCCTCCTGGTCGAGCCCTTCTGGTCATGCCCTCCTGGTCGATCCCTCCTGGTCGAGCCCTTCTGGTCGAGCCCTCCTGCACGTTTTTGGTCTTTGTTACACTCAGGACACTGTTGTTGATTGTTTTTGTTTATTTCATCTTCATTACTTTTCATTAAAGTCCCGCAAGGTGTGATTTTCTTTTCAGAATTAATTGATCAAAGCTACAGTCTTTCCTAAATAAATCTATTTCTAATGCATAGTGACTGTTTTCGGCAATGGTATGTGGAGCTTTAAGCACTTCCCAAATTTAATGAAATTAGATGTAATAAATTAAATATCACGCGCAATACACATATAAAAAGTTTTACCGGAATGTTTATATCGAGCGTATGCTACGTCAGTCCTTACATAGAAGAGATGGCATCCCTTATAAGACATCATGTATCATGTATGTATGGTCGGAGTGTTGTATTCTTTGTTTGTATATATATGCACTGTACTGATAAACCGCAAGGTTTAAGGTAATAAAGAACGATTCCCTTATAAGACATCCAAACAATACAGCTTGTCCTGAAGACTTTACTAACTTTATAAGTAATAAAGAGCTCCAAGTATACTTCTTAATCGTAAAGTGTCACTCATATTTTGTACTATGTGGCATGATTTCGCGTATCTTAAACATTTTATGCTTAAAAAGTCTACATACATTTATTTGTTGTTGCTTTAGGTTTTTTTCTTTATTACAAATCGTGCGATCAATTTCAAATTTCGTTTCCAATAAAAGTTGTGTGTTATCTATATCAGATTGACGATTATGTAATATGTCATTGTTTTAAGTGTATTTAGTATGAAAACACATTATCATTACATTTAACTTAAGTTAGATATAACAAAAACAAGAACACCCACAAAAGACAAAAACATATTTTATTAAAAAAAAAAGTTAATTCAATCGTTACAGATAGTTATAATGGTACATAAAAATAATTGTTAAAAAATGACCTTACTGATCCTGGAAATAGCTCAGAATCCTATATTATTTACAGTGATACAGGGTAGTGAATCTGACTTTGTGAAGTGAGAAAGACATACCCGGTACATGCTTGTTATCTATTGAATTTATTTTTGTTAAATTTATATTTACGTCTTTACTCTAGACACGCTTAACTACGAAGCAGCATCTTATTACAACTTAGAGGTGACGGTGTCAGACAACGGGCACCCTGCTCTCTCGTCCTCTGTATCAATTGATGTCAGCGTCTTCAATGTAAACGAGGATAAGCCAGTGTTTACAAACATAGGTAGGCTGGGTTAGTCGTGTTAATATACATGTACTTACCTGGTAGATGTAAGTCTGGTTGTTGTAGGATTGTGTCCATATTGGATATACAAATACTAGAAATATAAATAAAAACGAAGAACCATCAAATGCCGTTAGGCGTACGTTACTTAATGTTTATCTGCTTCCTACTTGACCTTAATTTGTTCTCGTAATCTGTTCTTTGTATGTCAGTCTGTGATGAAGTGCTACCAAATACAATATGAAAAGTTAAATGTGGCATCTCTTCTTGTAGTTGATTTCTAGATATAATAACTATTTTATGACACATGTTATGTAATATGTTCTGCTAGAAATATTCACCAGGATGGATCTCAACGAGGCTTTTTTCGTTAAAGTGCTTTTTTTAATGAACGTTTCTGTTATTCCTCTCGCCTTCTTATTTATCTGATATATGCATGTGCTTCTGTTTCACTCTGTAATGACATCTTACAGTATATGCTGGATTTTTTTTAATGACAGAAAATTATTCATAAATACAATTTGGTATTGAACTTCATTTCAACCTAAATGACTTTAGGAAACTATATGGTAACTGCAAGTGAGGATACTGCAGTAGGTTCCACTCTTGTCACCGTCGCGGCCACGGACACAGACGCTGGAGATACTGTAACGTATGCCTTTGCAATTCCGTACCCTAATTTCAACATTGACCACACCTTGGGAACCATACTGCTCGTCCACAACCTAGACTACGAGACGGCCTCTAGCCATATACTCATAGTGGACGCCTCTGACGGCACGCACAGTTCTGCTGCTACTGTTACTATTGTCGTGGATGATATCAATGAAGTCCCGACATTCACACAGGCCACATATACGTACGTTGTTTGCACGTGATAATTCGAATAACTTAATATACAGTATATTGTTATAAATCGGTTGATTTCCATGTTAACTGATTTGGCTTTTTTATGACATTAACTTGTATCTGAATTCACAAACTTAATAATATACACGGATTGGGATAATGATCTTAAGTCCTTGATAATTGGGTATAATTGTCATTGTTTACATTTATATGCATATATAATCGATAGACATTTAAATTTCTGGTTAACTTTCACTTTTAATTTGTAAATATTTACGGTAAATACTATTGGTACACAATTCTCACTGTAACAATGTCTCCATTTCAGGGTAAATTACGCGGAGAACCAGTCGGCAGGTACATCCATTGTGAGTGTCTCGGCTACAGACTTAGACAGCGGAGCCAGGGGACGTCTTACCTACACTATATCGGGTGGTGACGGGGTGTCATACTTCACCATTGACTCCACATCTGGCACCATTTCGTCATCATCCGTCATCGACTACGAACTCAACACGTTTTTTAATCTTATAGTACAGGCGTCTGACTCGGCCCTGCCTTCTTTAACTTCGCAGTGTTTGGTGAACGTTAGAATCAGGGATATAAACGACAACGCTCCAGTGTTTATTCCGGTAACATACACCGAGAGTGTCTCCGAAGTAGCCGTCATTGGTACAACAGTCACCACGATCAGCGCTACGGATGCTGATTCCGTTGCTAATAACAACAACGTTTTCGAATTCAGGAGCATTTCCGCCGTTCCCTTTACTGTAAACCCCACATCAGGAGTGATTACCACAAACGCATTGCTAGATAGGGAAATCGTGTCTATGTAATTATCATTATACATTTTTTTCTTTACTTTGTTAGTAATCAAAAGCAGTTTCCCTCTCTGTTGTAAAAGATAGATGTTGCACGATGTCTACATTAGGCGAGGGGATTATACTGATGGCTATTTCATAAAACATAACTTGAAACAACTGCTTTATTCGTCAAATAACACGTTCTTTACATAATGAATGTCTGCTTCTGCTGTTTTCCACCGTTTCCTTGCGACATCATCATGAATAGTTTTATAATAGAAACATCGTATATGAAACAGTTCCTCGAATTGTAAAGTATCTTTGCAGTATTCCTTTTTATAGAACTAACAAAACATTTACTAAGATGCTATCCGGGTGCAATGTTTTATGAAATGGGGTGAAATAACTAGATACAGTTTCACTGCCAGCCAAAGATAGCTTAGACTACCTAATCAAAGGGTTCATATCAATTGATATTGAAAGATAATGATGATCACTTATACATTGTCGTAAACTAAACCATTGACACAGGTATCAACGATTTATAAATTTTTATCTTTTTAAAGTCTAATTTTGATAATATACACGATAAAATAGATATTTATTTATCTATAAATTTGTATCATCATTCTTAAGATACGAGATGGTGATCCTCGCGACGGACAAAGGCGCCACCCCTCTGACCGGTACCTCTACTGTAACCATCTCCCTGATAGACGTGAACGACAACGGCCCCAGTATATCTGGTACTTATGACACCACGATAGACGAGGACACCGCCGTCAACACCGTCGTCTTCTCAATCATCGCCACTGATCTGGACTACGGACGAAATAGCCAGTTACTGTACGCTATCAACTCCGGGAACACCAATACAGACTTCAAGATAGAGGTCAGAACTGGTATAATACAAACGGCGAACCTTTTGAATAGGGAATGGAATTCATTCTATAAATTAACGGTACATGTCACTGATGACGGAACGTCACCCAGGACCGCCAGCGTAACCTGTACGCTGGCTATAAGAGATGTAAATGACAACCCTCCTGTTTGGGTCACACAGCCTTTTGTGTTTTCCATTACGGAAAACGTCGCGGCAGGTTCCGGTGTCGGTTTCATAAGAGCCACTGATGCCGATATAGGTATGAACTCAGCATTAACATACTCCATTGTGAACTTCTGGGTCGGTGGTTCGAATCCATTTGTGATTGATAGCTCCTCTGGTTATATTTCTTCAAATAAGGTTCTCGACAGAGAAACTGTCGACACCTACATCGTATGGTGCCGAGTACATGACGGTGGATCGCCGATGCTTTCGGCAGATTCCAATGTAACGATAACAGTTTTGGATATCAATGATAACGACCCTGTGTTTGAAATGGCAAAATACTTTGGAAATATTAGAGAAAACTCTCAAGTTGGTACTTCAATTCTGAGTGTATCGGCAACTGATGGTGATACAGGTGTAAATGTACAATTAGCATATGCACTGGATACGTCCATATTGACAGGTGCCGAAAAGTACCTAAACATAAACCCGACAACAGGACTTATCAATGTCAAAACTCGAATTGATCGCGAGAAAGATCCATTGCTTTCTGTCACAGTGTTTGTAACCGACGCCGGGACACCACCTAGGACCGGTACTGTGATGGTGTCAATTACCGTCACTGATGATAACGACAATAATCCGATATTCTTAGAGACATTTTATAATGCAGAGGTTCCCGACAGTGACACGTGCTCTTCTGTGATAGCCACAGTCACCGCTACAGATGCTGACCAAGGTCCAAACTCACACGTTTCTTACTACTTTGATAATAGTAGCGAAGATTTCAGTTTAGATCCAGTCACAGGTCAGTATTATCTTTCTGAAATAAGTTAACTAAAATGATTAATCTATCATTTTCATTAATGCTAATTATGGAAATACAAAAAAAATGTAATCAATGGTCAGGTACTGTTTATTTCTAGTATTGATTTTCAGTTAAATAAATGACAATACACGTTATAATAGATGTGAAGATGTGTTGGTTATATATCACCGTATGTCATACTGTGATACGTCATTGTCATACTGTGAAACGTCATTGTCATACTGTGATACATCACTGTCATACTGTGATACGTCATTGTCATACTGTGATACGTCATTGTCAATCTGTGATACGTCATTGTCATACTGTGATAGTCATTGTCATACTGTGATACATCACTGTCATACTGTGATACGTCATTGTCATACTGTGATACGTCATTGTCATACTGTGATATGTCATTGCTATACTGTGATGCGTCATTGTCACATTGTGGAACAATATTATCATACTGTAATATGTCATTGTCATACTGTGATACGTCATTGTCGTACTGTGATACATCACTGTCATACTGTGATACGTCATCGTCATACAGTAATACGTCATTGTCAATATGTGATACGTCATTGTCATACTGTTATACGTCATTGTCATACTGTGATACGTCATTGTCATACTGTGCTACCTAATTGTCAATATGTGATACGTCATTGCCATATTGTTATACGTCATTGTCATACTGTGAAACGTCATTGTCATACTGTGCTACCTAATTGTCAATATGTGATACGTCATTGCCATATTATGATACGTCATTGTCATACTGTGATACGTCATTGTCACACTGTGATACGTCATGGTCACACTGTAATAAGTCAATTCCATACTGTGATGCGTCATTGTCATACTGTGATACGTCATTGTCAATCTGTGATATGTCATTGCTATACTGTGATGCGTCATTGTCACATTGTGGAACAATATTATCATACTGTAATATGTCATTGTCATACTGTGATACGTCATTGTCGTACTGTGATACATCACTGTCATACTGTGATACGTCATCGTCATACAGTAATACGTCATTGTCAATATGTGATACGTCATTGTCATACTGTTATACGTCATTGTCATACTGTGATACGTCATTGTCATACTGTGCTACCTAATTGTCAATATGTGATACGTCATTGCCATATTGTTATACGTCATTGTCATACTGTGAAACGTCATTGTCATACTGTGCTACCTAATTGTCAATATGTGATACGTCATTGCCATATTATGATACGTCATTGTCATACTGTGATACGTCATTGTCACACTGTGATACGTCATTGTCACACTGTAATAAGTCAATTCCATACTGTGATGCGTCATTGTCATACTGTGATACGTCATTGTCAATCTGTGATATGTCATTGCTATACTGTGATGCGTCATTGTCACATTGTGGAACAATATTATCATACTGTAATATGTCATTGTCATACTGTGATACGTCATTGTCGTACTGTGATACATCACTGTCATACTGTGATACGTCATCGTCATACAGTAATACGTCATTGTCAATATGTGATACGTCATTGTCATACTGTTATACGTCATTGTCATACTGTGATACGTCATTGTCATACTGTGCTACCTAATTGTCAATATGTGATACGTCATTGCCATATTGTTATACGTCATTGTCATACTGTGAAACGTCATTGTCATACTGTGCTACCTAATTGTCAATATGTGATACGTCATTGCCATATTATGATACGTCATTGTCATACTGTGATACGTCATTGTCACACTGTGATACGTCATGGTCACACTGTAATAAGTCAATGCCATACTGTGATGCGTCATTGTCATACTGTGATACGTCATTGTCAATCTGTGATATGTCATTGCTATACTGTGATGCGTCATTGTCACATTGTGGAACAATATTATCATACTGTAATACGTCATTGTCATACTGTGATACATCATTGTCATACTGTGATACGTCATTGTCATACTGTGATACGTCATTGTCATACTGTGATACGTCATTGTCATATTGTGATACGTCATTGTCATATTGTGATACATCACTGTCATACTGTGATACGTCATTGTCATACTGTGATACGTCATTGTCATACTGTGATACGTCATTGTCATACTGTGATACGTCATTGTCATACTGTGATACGTCATTGTCATACTGTGATACGTCATTGTCATACTGTGATACGTCATTGTCATACTGTGATACGTCATTGTCATACTGTGATACGTCATTGTCATACTGTGATACGTCATTGTCATACTGTGATACGTCATTGTCATACTGTGATACGTCATTGTCATACTGTGATACGTCATTGTCATACTGTGATACGTCATTGTCATACTGTGATACGTCATTGTCATACTGTGATACGTCATTGTCATACTGTGATACGTCATTGTCATACTGTGATACGTCATTGTCATACTGTGATACGTCATTGTCATACTGTGATACGTCATTGTCATACTGTGATACGTCATTGTCATACTGTGATACGTCATTGTCATACTGTGATACGTCATTGTCATACTGTGATACGTCATTGTCATACTGTGATACGTCATTGTCATACTGTGATACGTCATTGTCAATATGTGATACGTCATTGTCATACTGTTATACGTCATTGTCAATATGTGATACGTCATTGTCATACTGTTATACGTCATTGTCAATATGTGATACGTCATTGTCATACTGTTATACGTCATTGTCAATATGTGATACGTCATTGTCATACTGTTATACGTCATTGTCAATATGTAATACGTCATTGTCATACTGTTATACGTCATTGTCATACTATAATATGTCATTGTCAATATGTGGTACGTCATTGTCATATTGTGATACATCACTGTCATACTGTGATACGTCATTGTCATACTGTAATACGTCATTGTCAATATGTGATACGTCATTGTTATACTGTTATACGTCATTGTCATACTGTGATACGTCATTGTCATACTGTGCTACCTAATTGTCAATATGTGATACGTCATTGCCATATTGTTATACGTCAATGTCATACTGTGATACGTCATTGTCATACTGTAATACGTCATTGCCATACTGTGATGCGTCATTGTCATACTGTGGAACAATATTATCATACTGTACCACGTCATTGCCATACTGTGATAACTAATTGTCATACTGTGATACGTCATCGTCATACTGTAATACGTCATTCTCGTACTGTGATACGTCATTGTCGTACTGTGATACATCACTGTCATACTGTGATACGTCATCGTCATACTGTTATACGTCATTGTCAATATGTGATACGTCATTGTCATACTGTTATACGTCATTGTCAATATTTGATACGTCATTGTCATACTGTTATACGTCATTGTCATACTGTAATATGTCATTGTCAATATGTGATACGTCATTGTCATACTGTGATAGTCATTGTCATACTGTGATACGTCATTGTCATACTGTGATACGTCATTGTCGTACTGTGATACATCACTGTCATACTGTGATACGTCATCGTCATACTGTAATACGTCATTGTCAATATGTGATACGTCATTGTCATACTGTTATACGTCATTGTCAATATTTGATACGTCATTGTCATACTGTTATACGTCATTGTCATACTGTAATATGTCATTGTCAATATGTGATACGTCATTGTCATACTGTGATAGTCATTGTCATACTGTGATACGTCATTGTCATACTGTGATACGTCATTGTCGTACTGTGATACATCACTGTCATACTGTGATACGTCATCGTCATACTGTAATACGTCATTGTCAATATGTGATACGTCATTGTCATACTGTTATACGTCATTGTCAATATTTGATACGTCATTGTCATACTGTTATACGTCATTGTCATACTGTAATATGTCATTGTCAATATGTGATACGTCATTGTCATACTGTGATAGTCATTGTCATACTGTGATACGTCATTGTCATACTGTGATACGTCATTGTCGTACTGTGATACATCACTGTCATACTGTGATACGTCATCGTCATACTGTAATACGTCATTGTCAATATGTGATACGTCATTGTCATACTGTTATACGTCATTGTCATATTGTGATACGTCATTGTCATACTGTGATACGTCATTGTCATACTGTGATACGTCATTGTCATACTGTGATACGTCATTGTCATACTGTGATACGTCATTGTCATACTGTGATACGTCATTGTCATACTGTGATACGTCATTGTCATACTGTGATACGTCATTGTCATACTGTGATACGTCATTGTCATACTGTGATACGTCATTGTCATACTGTGATACGTCATTGTCATACTGTGATACGTCATTGTCATACTGTGATACGTCATTGTCATACTGTGATACGTCATTGTCATACTGTGATACGTCATTGTCATACTGTGATACGTCATTGTCATACTGTGATACGTCATTGTCATACTGTGATACGTCATTGTCATACTGTGATACGTCATTGTCATACTGTGATACGTCATTGTCATACTGTGATACGTCATTGTCATACTGTGATACGTCATTGTCAATCTGTGATACGTCATTGTCATACTGTGATACATCATTGTCATATTGTGATACGTCATTGTCATACTGTGAAACGTCATTGTCATACTGTGTAACGTCATTGTCAATCTGTGATTCGTCATTGTCATATTGTGATACATCACTGTCATACTGTGATACGTCATTGTCATACTGTGATACGTCATTGTCATACTGTGATACGCCATTGTCAATATGTGATACGTCATTGCCATACTGTGATACGTCATTGTTATACTGTGATACGTCATTGTCATACTGTAATACGTCATTGTCATTCTGTGATACGTCATTGTCATACTGTGATACGTCACTGTCATTCTGTGATATATCACTGTCATACTGTGATACGTTTTTGTTGACATATCACTAACTTGCTGTTGAAGTGCTAGATATGTGCTATATCACAAATACCTTTATTTGTATCTATTACCAACACAAAACGTTTTACTTCTTTTATGTAAAGTCAATATGAACCTTATTAAAGATGATGTCACTATTCAAGAAGGCAATGTTTGTATAGGTAAAATCAGTAGCTCTCGGAAGCTGTCACCAGGAAAGAAATACATCAAATTCGTTTATGCTCGCGATAATGGTAACCCAGAGCTGAAGTCAACAGCGAAGGCCACAGTTCGTATCGACACTTTCCGACCGTCTAACGTTGTCATTACTTTTCATCTGAGTATCAACAAAAGCTACTTTGAAGCTGTTGAGACAGCATTCATCACCAAGCTGACCAGTGTGTACCGTGTCTCGTATCCTACAGCGTTGGTCAGGCGATGGTGCGTAGTGGAATCCTCGGGCAGGTAATTGTAATTAAACGTCACGTAACATTAAAATCATCTGTAAAATTAGGTGATTTAAGGATTTATCTTACTCTGACATTTTTTTTTAACTTTTTGTAATGTGAAGAGTTTTGGTTGCTGATGTCATCAAAAATAGTCTCTGTGGAGGTAAGATTTAGTCGAACAACTTTTCTGTTTATGTATTTAATGCTGTAGTATTGTTTAACAGTGACTACATATCTCTTTGTTACATATTGTGATATGTAATTATCCATGTTTTGTCATAAAAAAGGATCGGATTGCCTCGAAAAATTTGACTTATTACTTATGAATAAAATGCATATATATGCGTGTGCGTGTATTTCATTCCCTATTCTATTCCAGTCTCACCATTGCCAGCCTATATGTACTTCAAGACGACACCACTAATGACATGATCAACATTTATTCTGAGAAGAAATTTCTCACTGCGTCCGCTGCTCAATCGTACGTAACGCGGGATACCGACGGGAGACCGTCGTACAAAATAACAGGTAAGTATAGTGAAATCACCGTCGTACACAATAACAGGTAAGTATAGTGAAATCTCACCGTCGTACACAATAACAGGTAAGTATAGTGAAATCACCGTCGTACACAATAACAGGTAAGTATAGTGAAATCACCGTCGTACACAATAACAGGTAAGTATAGTGAAATCACCGTCGTACACAATAACAGGTAAGTATAGTGAAATCACCGTCGTACACAATAACAGGTAAGTATAGTGAAATCACCGTCGTACACAATAACAGGTAAGTATAGTGAAATCACCGTCGTACACAATAACAGGTAAGTATAGTGAAATCACCGTCGTACACAATAACAGGTAAGTATAGTGAAATCACCGTCGTACACAATAACAGGTAAGTATAGTGAAATCACCGTCGTACACAATAACAGGTAAGTATAGTGAAATCACCGTCGTACACAATAACAGGTAAGTATAGTGAAATCACCGTCGTACACAATAACAGGTAAGTATAGTGAAATCACCGTCGTACACAATAACAGGTAAGTATAGTGAAATCACCGTCGTACACAATAACAGGTAAGTATAGTGAAATCACCGTCGTACACAATAACAGGTAAGTATAGTGAAATCACCGTCGTACACAATAACAGGTAAGTATAGTGAAATCACCGTCGTACACAATAACAGGTAAGTATAGTGAAATCACCGTCGTACACAATAACAGGTAAGTATAGTGAAATCACCGTCGTACACAATAACAGGTAAGTATAGTGAAATCACCGTCGTACACAATAACAGGTAAGTATAGTGAAATCACCGTCGTACACAATAACAGGTACGTATAGTGAAATCCCCGTCGTACACAATAACAGGTAAGTATAGTGAAATCACCGTCGTACACAATAACAGGTAAGTGTAGTGAAATCATCATTTGATGATTTTTATTTCTAAAAGAAAAAAATATAAGTCACAACAGCCCTATATCCGGAACACTTTAATTCCATCTTTAAGTGTTTGGATACGGGTGAGTAATATATTTGAATTCAGCACTCCTATAAACTTTGATATTCATAAATTAAGAGGTTTACGCACATGCCCCTCTGTTTGTACAGTAAGTTAGACAATTTGGATTTCCAAATATTTGGCCCTAGCATCACCGATGAGTCCTATAAGGAAGAAAAAGCTATATGACTTAGTGTAATTCATCTTTTGGCGAACTGTATCTATTACCCAATGTTAAAGGTACAATTGTGTTTGAGTGGGGGG